GCTGAGGCAAGAGGATTGCCATGAGTTTGAGGCTAGTCTGGGCTACATAGTGAGACCCTGATGTAAGAAACAAAAATATCCACAGCTGGACTGTGTCACTGGAGCTCATGATTCAGCTGGTCTGTGATAGGACCCCAACAGTATTTTTTAAATTCCTTTCATAATTTTAGTATGCAATTAGAGTGGAGTGCCATTAATATAGAACATAAATTATAATTGATCTGTGAGTTTATAATATTAAAATACAATAATTTTTTTTTAGTACTGGGAATTGAACCAGACCTTTACAGTTAACTACATTTCCGGCCCATTCCCTCTTTTTCATTTTTTATTTTGAGACAAGTTCTCACTAAGTCACTAAATTACCAGCTTGGCTTGAACTGGCAGTCCTCCTGCTTCAGCCTCCTGGCATCCTGGGATTACAGATATTGGCCATCACACCAAGTTTATAATGGTCTTTTTAAATTTGACATTCAGTAAATATCTATCACTTGGTTTTCTCCAGATTGTCCAGCATTTAATTTGCTTTCTGTGAACACAACACTCTGAAATCAACCCTCACAAGAAACATGAAGGCGAGCTAAATGTGTTACCCTGGGCTTTCATTTTAACTTTAGATGGATACCAAAAGACTGTCTTTACTTCCTCGTGATTTTTTTTTAACTAAGACTCCATCCAAAGGAAATCTGTTTAGTCATTTTGTGGATTTCAACGCATTTTTTGCTTAATTTTATATTGCCAGTGTTTCAATCTGTGTTTGAGGGGCATGTATTGAGCTTCAGTTCTCTGTCTCAAGTGGCTCTTGCGTCTGTGCGAGGCAGACAGACAGGCAGGGTGCGCTGGGGCCTGTGTGCTGCAGGGGTGCACACAGCGGCCGTGGGGGCTCATGGTGGAGGGAGTGGTCGGTGTTCTCCAGGGGCCACGCAGCTAATAGAGATGAGACGGGAAAGGAAGTTAGAGAAATAATATGTGAAGACAGACACAGAAGCATTTCAGAGTGTGAGCAGCATGGGCGTGGTCGGGAACGAGAGGGGACCCCTGCCTGTCCCTCTGCGCTGTGGCACAGATGTCCCCTTTACTTCTTTTGTGCTGAAGAGAATGGAAAGCCACGAAAGACACATGCAACATCCCATTACCACCTACTTCTCAGCACTCGCGTGTTACACGTGTGAATGCTTGTAACTTCTTTATTGCACTTCGGCTCTTCAGTCGAGAATTTTAATCTTACGGCAAGGAATTAGTCTTTTAAAGTTCCTGTAACTGCCAAACGATGTGTCTAATACATTTTCAATGTAGAAACCATAGAAACACGAGTTTGAGACTCTACTCTTTCAGTGATACATATCTAAACTCAAGATTTTCATGTTTACCCTTTTTATTTTAAAGAAAAAACGATGATATAAAATTTCAAAATAAGGTTGTAGAACAGTCACAATGGTTAATACATTGTGTATTATTATTGTCAAAGTAGTTGCTCCTAGGACAAGCTATAGGCATGAAAAATTGGTCAAACAGTACAGCCACATGCCTTTCTTTATCAGTTAGTAGTGTAGCTGTCTGTCTGTTTCGTGTGCACATATATGTGTTTCTTCCCCTTTTCCCTTTCTTCTTTTCTCCTTTCCCCCTTCCCAGTTTCTCTTTCCTATTGATCAGCTTCCTTCCATTTCACATTATCTGTTGTACATTCTGGATCCTATTTACTACGGAGATAATATGATGTGAGTCTGATTTATTTCAGTTATGAGTACGGTCTCAAGTTGCATCCTTTTCCCTATAAATGTCTCAAATTTATCCTTCTTTATAGCTGAGTAGTACTCTAGTGTATAAAAATACATCTTTTTCATCTGTTTCTCAGTTAATGGGCATTTGGGTTGTTTCCAAGACTTAGCTATGAGAAATTGTGCTGCTATAAACATGGGTATATAAATATTGCCGTGGTGTGATGTTTCTATTTCTTCTGGGAAGATACCCAGAAAGGGAATAGCTGGTGAATTGGACCTCTAATCCTGGTTTTTGGGAAATCTCCACACTGATTTCCACAGTAGTTGTACCAGTCTACATTCCCACCAACCGGTCCCCCACCCCAGCATTTGTTATTGGTTAACTTCTGGATGATGGCCATTCTTACTGGGTTGTTACTTTAATTTGCATCTCTTGAATGACCATTGATGTGGAACATTTTTTAAATTTTTATTTGCCATTCATATTTCTTCATCTGAATAGTGAGTATTCATATCAGCTGCCCATTTTGGGATTGGGTCTTTGAATTTGGAGAGAGTCTGATGTTTCTTCAATTCTTTATATGTTATAGATAGCAGTCCTTTGTCTGATAGAGACAGTTGGCTAAAATTTTTTCAACCTGTGGGTTTTATTTTCACTCTGTTGGTGATTTCTTTTGTTATGCAAAGCTTTTTAATTAAATGAGATCCCAGTTGTTGAATCTTTGACGAGTTTCCTGTGCTGTTTGGGTTTTGTTCATGAAGTTTCTGCCTATCCCAGTATCGTTAAGATTTTTACCTACTTTGTCTTCCAGTAGATTTAGTGTTTCTCTTTTAACATTTATATCTTTGATCCACTTTGACATTAGTTTAGTGCATAGAGACATGGGTGTAGTTTTACTCTGCAGCATATAGAGAGCCAGTTTTTCCAGCACCATTTATTGAAGAGTCTCTCTTTCTTCCAGTGAACATGTTTGGCTCCTTTGTCAAAGATAAGATGGCTGAGTGTGTTTGTACTTGTATCTGCATCTTTTAATCTGTTCCACTGGTCCTCAGGTGTTTTTGTTGTTGTTTTTGCCAGTGCCATGCTGATTTTATACTGTGGCCTTGTAGTACAATTTCAGGTCAGGGATTATAGTGCCTCCTACCCTGCCTCCTTTGTTGCCCAGGATTGCTTGATACTCTAGTTCTCTTCTGTTTCCAGATGAATTTTAAGAATGTTTTCTCTAGTTCTGTGAGGTGTGTTATGGTATTTTCATTGGGATTGCATTAAGTCAGTTTTGGAAGTATGGCCATTTTCATTATGTTGGTTTTTCCTATCCAGGAGCAAGGAATATCTTTCTATTTTCTGCTACCCTCTTTGATCTTCTTTTTCAAAGTATTATAATTTGCAGCATATAAAATCTTTACTTCCTTTTTTAGATTGATTCCCAACTATTCTAGTTTTTTGAAGGCCATGGTGAAGGGTGTGGTTTCCCTAATTTCTCTCTGTGAGTTTGTTGATTATGTACAGAATGCTATTGATTTTTGAAGTTGACTTTGTATTCAGCTATGCTACTGAAATTGGTTATTAACTATAGGAGTCTTTCTTGGGGTTTCTATGTAGACTATCATGTCTTTTGTGAATAATGATAGTTTAACTTCTTTTCCTATCCTGATTCCTTTCATTTCTCTTTCTTGTCTAATTGCTCTGGCTAATGTTTCCAAAACTGTATTGAGGGGTGACAGTGGACATCCATGTCTTGTTCCTTTATTTTGAACATTTTTTTTTAATTGAAATTGGCAGAAAGAGTCCACGTGCATTATGGACTGCATAGCGCTCTGATACGCAGGTTCACTGTGGGTGTCTGCCCCTCACATGCTCCTGTGTGTATGCACTCGTGTGTGTATCCACCGAAGTCTACTTTGCACAGCTTTCAAGTGCTCAGTACCTTGTTATTATCGTTGGGATCACCATTTGGTTGGTGAGTGTCTCGCACTGAATCCTCCTGCCAAGGCCAACATCCATAGCCTCTGAACACAGCTTCCCAGTGCACTGGCCCACTTGGCCCTGGGGTCCACCTCCTCTTTGGCTTCTGTATATCAGTGACATCCTGTGTGTTTGTCTTCCTGTGCCTGATTTCTTCTTTTTAAAAGCTCGCTGTTGCATCGGAACTCAGCATGACTGGCATGAAGTGGGCCCTCGAGTGTTTCATGAGTGAGCAAGTGAATGAAAGTGCAGGGCCTTCGTGTTGACAATGAATTTAACTCTGGATTACAGTAAAATGAGCGGTGCCTGTTTATGCTTAGTGAGCACTAACATCGCCAGCACTACTATTAAAGCTCTCAAGTGTACTGTTTCATTGATCTTCAACACTGTTTTATGACATATTATGCTTTATTTCCTATGATACTGGGGACTGAGCTACATCCCTGTCCTCCTTTTAAATTTTTTTTTTTTTTTTTTTGAGATAGGATCTTTCTAAGTTGCCCAGGCTGGGTTTGAATTTGCAAGCTTTCTGCCTCAGCCTCCCAGGGTTCTGGGAGTCGGGTATGCAGCAACATGCCCAACTGTGAAGTATTTCTTACCCTTCTTTTATAAGTAAGGAAATTGAGACAAACAGTGCTGGGAGCTTGGTAACTCCTCAGAGCTGATATGCAGTGAAGCTAGAATCTGAACCAGGCACCCGAGCAGACACTGCAGACCTGGGCTTGTAACCTTCTACTGCACATCAGGGATGAAGGCGGTGGCCTGGGGTACTCTGGGTTGCTACTGTGGAAGGCAAATAAACAACACACCAGAGTGTTAGCCCAGTGCGATCTATAAAGGCAATCGATTTCCTCCTGTTGATCCTCTAATACTAGCAGAGATATTCCGTTTTCTGTCCATGTAATTCATGTGGCTCATGCTGATAACAACTTCTTTTCCAATGGCTTTGCTTTTAATAAATTGCATATGTTCATTGCTTCTTTTTAAAAAAGAAAAATCACTTATTTCATCTTAGGGAGGGCTTGAAAACATTAATCTACTTGCTCAATGTGACTAATGATCAATGCCATTACTAAAGAAAATATTTTTCAAATGGGAACTCAGTTAAGTTAATGATCCTCTTCTGTATGGCTTCACTTGAGTCAAGGTTCATTTATCTCCAGGAAGAACAAATGAGTTTTCATCAGAGGGAAAGTTTCCAAAATATACAGGAGAGTAAGATGGGCTAGCCAGGGTCTGACCACGACTGTGATCCTTTTAAACTTTTGTTTGATTTTGGTTTTAATTGAGTGTTAATGGATTCTTCTTTGCAGACTATCACGGAAAAACACAAGCTCAATGTTCCTGAGACTATGACAGAAGTTCTCGACGTTTCTGATGAAGAGGGTAAGGTCAGACCTTGCGCGAGAGCAAACTCCCCTCATGCTCAGGACCAAGCTGCTTATGTGCATGACAGCACCTCAACATTTAAAGTCCCTGTCACCCTGTTTCAATACATGTACTTTTGCCATTGTTTGGGGTAGCATCTGATCAGTCTGCTTTCTCCTGTTATCTTCTGAAGTAACAGGACTAAGAAAGGAAAGAAACCAGAAACTGGTCATATGCTAAAAGATTGGCTTGGTAATAAAATTATGTTCTAATCTGTGGTTTGATTATGTCCCGCAAAGTTTGGTTTGCGTGCTGGGGTCAAAACCAAAGTTCAGAACACATTGAACAAATGCTTTATCCCAGAGCTACATCTCTAGCTCTCAAAATATTTTTTATTCAGATGCCTTAAAGACCTTAAACTTTTCTTCATAAGTGATGTAGTGAGAAATCTCTGTTTCCTGATTTGTTCTAATGTATAGAATATGTATTAAATTCAGCGGAAAGGAGCCTTAGGGAAAGTTTTAAAAACCACAGAGTAGTAAATGGTACGAATTCAATGGATGTGATGTGATTGAAAAATAGAGAGAATGTTTAATTTTTAAAACTTGTTACAGCAGAACACATGTTGCCATGATTCCCTCTCCAAGTATTCCTCGCCATGTTGAGTACACTCATTGCGTCTTCTAGCCACTGTGGGCAGCAGTTCCAGGGTCCTCTGGCGACTGTCTTTAGTTGCACTGTTGTGGTGTCTCAGTATCCTGAGTAGGCTCAGATTGTTTACTTTCATGTCCATTTTGATTTAGGAGGAGCCAGAGTTGCATGGTGCCAGACTTGGCAAACAGGTGGAACCAGAGCACATTTTATGTACTTGTGTTTCCCTTGCATGACACGTGACGGCAGCAGCCTCTGTCTGAGCTTTTGATAGCATTTTACATAAAGACACTCAGGAAAGAGGACTTCCAGGACTGCTTCGGAAAGTGGAGAGAATGACGCGGTAATTGTGTTCAGCATGGAGGAGCGTGTCCTTTCCTGTAACAATTTTTACAACTTAAATATTCACCACGTATTTTGATTTGCCCTTATAGATAAGCAATTATTTAAGTTAGAAAGATGCAGCCTGTAGTTTAAGAGTGGATAAAAAAATTATCCAATGCAGTGCTTTTCAAAGTTTAGAGAACACTGCTTTTCAAACTGAGCTGCCTGGGCCCAGGCATGAAGCATCATGCAGGAGCTGGAGATCAGGCCTCGATTTCAACTGAAGTAGTTGACTTTTCTTTCTTTTTATATTTTAAATTTCCATTTAATATTCCATTTGGGTAAAAAAAATTGTTACTAAAAAACCATGAAAGCCGTGTTTAAATTTCTACTGTGTAGCTATTATTTAAGCATACACAATTAAAATTTATTGTCATACATATGGAAAATATATGTTTGAAAAATTGTTGCCATAGAGGATGGCACTAGCCCTAATACTAATTGTTTTTTTATGGAGAAATAGTAAAAGTAGTCATTTTAGGTTCTTTACCATAGAATCCTAAGATAAAATTTTACACTGATATGTTCTTATATGGAACCAATTGTTATCTCATCTACTGGTAACAGGAGTCGGTTATTTAGCTTGTGTAAGAGTTTATGATATGAGTGAAAATATTGAAACCATGTATTATCATGAGTAAATGAAAAAGTATTGCTCAAGCCAGCAGTTCCCAGTATGTGTTATAATTTCGAGTTCTGTCCTAATTCTTGCCAAGTAATTAATGTTCAGCATGCTTTGATGCACACCGTATTTTATTTTATGGGATCACCTTTCTCACCTTCACTTGTATATTGAACAGCTTTTAAACATTTTGGTGACCACTTTATTGATGGGGAAGTACTTAGCGATTCAGGTACCATTAGAGGAACTTGTTGGAGTGAAAGCTTTTCTTTGCTTTTAAATTTTTTTGCCTGCATAGGAACAGCTTGCTTAATATTTAAATCTGTATGCCTGATACTAATGTGTCCTTTGAAATAGCATGTGTAATATGAGTGGGATTGTATATGTATACATTTGAATTTGTGAATGTATTAATCTGGAACATTAAAACCATAACTTGTTTATGTTAATGATTTTGCAACTGTAATTAAGACACTAACATAATTAATTTATCTGATGAACATTATATTAAGATTTTCCCTAAACTAGTATCTTTCTGTTGAATACAAATTTAGAGAAAAAATAATTCTTTTTAAGTTAATATTGAACTAGCATGGGCATGTTAATAACTAAGTTGTTAGTTACTAAGCTACCAACTAAGACTGCTTCAATTCATATCGTCCTTCTGTGTGAAGACACAGCTTAAATGGTATAAATATATATTAAATTAGAATCAGGCATGATGACACATGTCTTTGTAGGTCTTGTCTCTTATATGATAGATAGATATATAACATATATATTATAATGTGATTTTTAAAGATAGTTGGAAGAACATAAATTAACCTTTAAAATTAGAGTAAATTTGACATTTAGGTGAAAGTATTATAAAGATTTCTATATAGCAGAAGCTTTCAAAGTACATATGGTACCACTTTAATGTAAATATATTACATTAAAATCTAAATTTATAAATCAGATAAATTAGTGATTATGTGACTTAAAAGTTGCTCTTTGTTTACCAATAATTTAATGAGTTATAGCATTTAGAGCATTTATTACTGGATTTATAGAAATTCCATTCATATAAATATCCTTTAAGACCTTCCTATGGCATAAAATGAGATCTGATTAAAACATTATGTAATCTTTTAAATTAAAATTGTTACATGTTCAAAAAATACTAGTGATGAGACAGTTGATTCAGGAGGAATACTGGCTAATGATCAAGAATGTCTCTTCTGGTAAGAGAAAATTGACATTTCTAGAAATAGCCAAAACTTAACATTTTATTCCTAGCAGTCAACTGAAGTTGAGTAGTTTTTATGTAAAGGATATTTTGAGTTGTGCAAAGTGATACAGGCAGAAAAATGACAGACTCCAAAAAATTTTTAAAAATATGCTTTATTAGCTGAGCTCAGCAGCAGCACTGTCCCAGTAAAGCAGCCAGGGAAGTGTGTGCCAGAGTGTGTGCCAGAGCCAGGGGCTGCAGGGAGTTATAAAGTAGCAAGCCACAAAAGGAGGTGTCAGGGTTTTAGGATCAGTTTGTCCCCATAAAGGGAACCAGGGAGCGGAACAAGCAGTTACAGGAACCAGGAAGGCAGGGAAGGGGTTACTGGTGGGCCTGTTACAAGGTTGCAACTTAACTGGCAATTACACCAGTTTTAGAGGAAGAAAACAAGTTACAATAAGAACAGCATATTTTGGGATTTTGAGCTTATAACACAAAGTAACTTTTTCATGCAAAGAGTTAGCATGTTGCCAGCCCATTAATGTTTGGCCTAGTTAAAGTGTTTCCCTGGCTCCACTGTCATGTGTGGATCCCAGGTGGCCATGGGTTTGGAAGGCCTGACCCAGTGTCTCTTTCACTGTGCCTCCTACTGTGTTAACAGTGGTGCTAATGTATTGAAACGCAGGAGTATTCCAGTCAAATACAGAGGTCTTCTCAGGTGAACATTAAAGCAGTCAGTATTGCCCTGCCGTGAAGCCATCAAGAATTCATTGGTGAGACATTATGTAGAAAGCTCTGTAACTGATGCTGTGGGGGAATCACACATAAATATGAAGGATGCCTTTGAGAAACATAGATGGGGTGATACTGTATAAAATATTTATTCTTGGGCATCATGGCATCTTTGCAATTACTTGGTGAGATCAGGAGATAAGAACCTAGTGGTGTCTCATGGACTTGCTGAGAGATGAGACCCTAGGAAGAGGGTGGCCCAGGTTTTAGGAAGCGGAGAAGGAACAGAGTAAAGTCCCAAGACAAGAAAATATGAGAGAGACACAGTGGCAAAATAGTCCAGTTGTTTGGTTTGATGCGTAAAACCACATGGCAGTCAGCAGTATTTGAATTCTTAGCTGAAATCTGGGGAAATTTAGGTACCTTAAAGATTACGATTAACGATGGAAACACTTAACTCTGCTTTTACAAAGAGTAATGCAGCAGTGGTATACAGAAGGACTATATGGGGAAGACAGTGGAAGGAAGCAGGTATCTAAGGGAAGAGAGCGTGGACTGCATGTCTGCAATGCCAGGTGCATGGCCTCCTTTAATGCCCAAAGTGTCCCTGTGACACCTGCTGTGGACCCCCCCCCACCATTGGTTTTCAAGTGAGGAAAGGCAAGTTCGGGTGCAGATATAGATGTGGAGTTTGGAGTCAGGTCTGCCTGGCTGCAGATTATGTATACATAGTGTCTGGGAGACCCAAAGTCTTAGGTGTGCGTGATAATGTGGACAGTGGGAGAAGCTTGATGGAATACCAGCGCTCAAGGGAGTGGAGGCTGAGAAGGAAAGCACAGAGAGCTTGGTTATGTCGGAGGAATTAAGGAGATTTGTTTTTAGAAGAAATAGCACCTTTTGGCCCCCAATTAATTATTAAAATTAGCAATCATCTTTAATAGACTCAACTATGAAAGAGGCATCAGTATAAGGTCTAATCATTTGGGGAAGAAATGACTGTCTTTCAAAGACAGCAGTGAGGGTGACCTCTTTTATCTGTGGAAAGGGGAAGAGTCCACAGAAACTTTGAGAGGAGAGGAGAGGGTGCAGACTAAGGCCGGGCACACACGTATCTGAGAGAAGATGAAGACGGAGGGTCTAGTGGCAGGGATGGACTGGCGGAATTTCTTTACCTTCTGAAGGAGGTAAGATGGAGAATGTTGGCCAGGTGCGGTGGCGCACCCCTGTAATCCCAGCACTCAGGAGGCTGAGGACCACTGTGAGTTCAAGGCCAGCTGAACTATATACTAAGAGCTTGTCTCAAAAAAAAAAATCAAGAATATCTCATTTGGAGGACACATTAAAAACTTGTAAAGCTTTGAGTTGTATGAAGAATTTCCTAGTTGTAGACCAACTTGGGTAAATGTCTTCCCAAACAATTTTTTTGTACTCATTTCTGTATTCTATTCTCCATTTCTCATTGCTGATTTTTAATATTGAATAATATGCCTTATACATAAACATATAGGAGAGAAATTTCATAGAACACCAGCAACATCAGACATGAGGCAGATTCCTCTGCAGCTCATGATAATATTAGATTAGATTTGGATGCTGATAAGCAGCACTAGGGGTTTTATTTTGGGGGAACCATTTCTCTCTGAGACTTAATAAAGCTATCATGATGTATACACCTAAAGATATTATAATTGTCTCTAAACTCTGCAGCCTTATTTCTAATAATACTGAATGTTATGACTCTGTTACAAAGCATCCTAACAAAACCATCAAGATACAAGGAATGAGAGCGGATGCTAAGGTCATCCACTGTCTTGTGAACTCAGTATAACCAGAGATTTTTAAATCATGCCTTGACTTATTGCCAGAATGGCAAAAATTGATCTAGTTGGTTAAAAATATATCTTGCAAATGACTTCCTTCCTGTATTCTATCAAGATTCTATATACATAAGACAGAAGTCCAGGACCAGGTGGTTTGCTCACATACTCTGCAAGACACAGCTACAGGGTACTCTGTCCCAGACTGGAGCCCTTCTCGTAGGCTTTGTTCTGTTCTCTTCCTTTTCTTTTTTCAACGCTTACACAACACGCTTCCCACCAAGAAGAGATGACCAAAGGGAAAGACGGATGGAGTAAGAGAACTGGAGACGCAGCCCTGTTGTATTGAGGGGTTTTGAAGAACTGAGAAAGGAAAGCTCACGGAGAGATTCCGTAAGCACTGCGGAGGAAGTGCAGGCGGTCGAGATGTGGAAGCAAACTGACACGGAGGGAGGGCTGGACACTCTCACCCGGGCAGCGATGGAAATTGGTGTCTGAAATCAAAACTGAACTGTCGGATTTCTGGATTGGGGTAGTAGCTCTGGGAAAGAAGAAAAAGGATAAGCAGAATAGGGTGCTTCTTTTGGTTTTTAAATAATCTTTTTAGCTTCTTAATCAGGAGATCCACAACATAGAACCTGTGTTAAGTGAAAAATTCTGTATTCAACCATTCCCATTACTTTTTTACAAGTAGGCATAAGCTTGCTCTTCCCAAATAATGCTAAAACTCTCTGAAAATAATACAGGATCATTCCCAAGCCAGGATACACCTGCGTGTTGGTATAGCTACTCTTGGAACTCATCTTAGAATTTTTTTCACTTCATCCTAATGCTACTTTCCTAATGTGTACATTTGGCTAATCTTACAAAACATTGTATTTCATTTAAAATATCTCATAGAAGTAGATTTTTTAGCATATTGCCACTTGCATGAAGATTATTAATATATAAAACTGTTGAAACAAGTAGTCAACAAAAAAGTCAAGTAGCCTACATGTTGGACTAATTAGTAAATTAAACAGTATAAACTGTTAACCAACCTTCAGAATAAAAATACAATGAATAAAGCAAATTAACAATTCTTAAAAACAGGTAGTTATTTTTTCTTTATGTGTGTAGAAGATGGATTAGTTTGGTCCAAGTTCCAGCACTTGCAAACATCTGTGTGTGTCCTGCGTCTTCTGGTGTGCCGTGTCTGTTGGCAACAAGGCTGTTTGCTAATGCATTTCATAGTTTAAACAGACTCTATAATTGATGCTACATTCAACAAGTAACTTGTTCTGTCTTCTGATTGTTTCAAGGGGATGACACAATGACAGGCGACGGGGGAGAATACCTTAGACCTGAGGATCTCAAAGAGCTGGGTGATGACTCACTACCTAGCAGTCAGTTCCTGGATGGAATGAATTACCTGCGGTATAGCTTGGAGGGAGGACGATCTGACAGGTACTCACAGAGAGCTTATACTCAATGTCTGCCAGAAATATATGGTATACAGTTTTATGATTGTTAAAAAAAGTAGGTACAATTATTGGGCACTTAATGAACACCTCACCATTCTTGGCAGTTAGCATGTTCTCTTATTTAGTTGTCCAATAACTTTCAGAAATGCTCACTTTCTAGAACAGGAAGCTGATGCCTGGAGAGGTTAAACAGCTTAGTAAAATCAGACAACCTCTCAGAAATAGATGGGTGATAAATAAGAACTCTCTGCCTCTGAATATGATGTGTATGATTATCTGCCCCTTTTTTCTCTAAACGAATTCATAGGGCTGTTTTGCCTTGTCATGCTCTTACCACGTGGTATCTATGACACTTAATCTTTTTTTCATTAGTGACATAATTTCTAAGTATGAAGTTGTGTTATGAAGAGTAATCAAAATCAAACAAATTTAAAAGAAAACTGTACTTGGAATTGGCTTGTCATTAAAAATAAAAGACCAAAAAACTTTGATACAAGAAGTAATGTGGAAAATCTGGATGAGCTCTGTTTTACAGTAAATCTGGAGTGGTTTATATACTGTTCCAAAGGATCAATTTAAGGTAAAGTGTGTGCCTGTCCAGGTAGTGAAATGTCTATTGCTGTGCAGGACTCTCATATTTATAGTTTTAAAGTTGGCTCTATTGTAAACTACTATGTGAATATCCTGCAAATTTATAGACTTAAGAACTAAATACCTTTAGTCATCAAATTTTCAATGGATAATTGAGTTTAAAAACAAGCTTTTCTCGGGCTTTTCCCTTGAGCACCAATTGTGTTCTCATTTTGAACATCCAGTGTGGATGTGTAACTGCATGTCGTGCAGGCTTTGCAGGCAGTGTAAGATCCACCAACAGGACACAGATTTACTTGCTGACTTCACGGTCCAGCAAGGTGACCGTGGAGGGGCCACTGGACCCTGGGACTTGAGCTTCCAGGAGGAGAGGAGGCCAGACCCAGCCTGAAAGATGAGGAAGGAGCCGGGGAAAGCGGGGAAAGGTGGGAGGACGTGAGCAGAGGCTGGTGGTAGCTGTGAGAAACAGGGGAGGTGGCACTCTGGCGTCTACACAAGAGGGGGACAGCTCCCGCTGCCTGTGAGCCAAGGGTGAGTCTCAGAGGAGTGCTGACCGAGGCCGCTGACCACTGAAAGCTCCTGCAGTGCTCTCAGCTGCGATGCTGTCGGGCTGGAACCAGAGCCTCGGTGGTAGCTGTCCTGGGGAGAAATTCCACAGTGAAAACCTTAAGGCTTGTGTAGGAGATGAACCAGACGTGGAGATGGATGTTATGGGTGTTTGAAGAGGAAGACAGTTAAGTGGGCTCCTTGGTCTCAGTGATGTATAAAGGTGTCCCTGGGATCAGAACACAGAAGGCGGAGGAGCCTGCGCAGACATGGCAGGCCAGGGTAGAGTACCGATTCACCAAGGACGTGGACCTGTAACCTGAAGACCTCAAGTTTCCGTAAAAGGAAAGGTTTATAGCTTTCCATGCATTCCCAATAATCTGTAAATAGGCATCTTACTGCAGGTCAAAACCCCTTTTGGTGTGATCTCTTACTGAGGAAAAAAATACCTGATTCAATCCTTTTGGCTTTTTTCAAAGTAACTCGATTGAGAGACTTACAGTGTGCTTTCTGTAAAGCAGGCTAGATGTTTGATGTACCTCTAATTAAACTGCACCCCACCAGCAGGTAAAGGCAAGGCAGCTAGTCCTCTGCCTATGCCTGCATTCCTAGAACAGGGAAGCTGCAGGCCTCGGGCTGCTTCTTGTTCTTTAGGTTTTCTTTGTTTGGTTTTGTGTGTAGTTTGGCACAGACGATTTGGGGCCTGCCCTTTTGGTAACAGCTTTCTTTTCATTGTTTCTCTGTGCCGTATGCTCTCAGTAGCACCATGCCCAGGTAGGTAACTCAAGGCATAGAAATGCGGCCCGCCCGGGTGCCCTCCCCTGCTCACTGCTCAGCGTGTGTGTGTGTGTGTGTGTGTGTGTGTGTGTGTGTGTGTTTGCACGCACGCGGGGCTGTGGCTAGGCTAGAATCCTAGACTTATTCTCAAATTAGAGCTTCTTTGCACTGAGCTGAATAACCGTTTGAGAGGAGAGAGATGAATCAGTTACTGGATGAAATCAACACGTGCGCAGGCCCAATTTGCAACCTTATGGTTGGCAAACAGGAGCCTGGCTTCCCGCACCCAGATCAGCCGTGGAGCCATAGAAGACAGGAGGGAGGTTCTGGTACCTAAGATGCATGCAGACGCAGAAGAGTAAGAATCATACGATTTAATGTCTGCTTCGCAAAAGCACAACCAGCTTCTGAGCAGTTGGATTTTATGTCCATTTTGTTGTTACTTACAAATTAAAAGTGCTATCGAAATTCAATATAAAACATCAAATAACAAATCATATATTAGAGAATCATCTATGTATATTGACACTAACACATTGAAATTTTTGGAAATTCATTTGTCCAAGAGAGTTTGTAACTCCATATATATAAATGCTACAGGTGACTAAAGTGATAATTATCAGGCTTTTCAATGAACATACACTTTCATACCATGCAATATTGTCCATAAAGCAATCGTTCCATAACACAGCAAGTATAAATTGAGTCCGTAACAAAGCAGTTGGCACGCAGAGCACAGAGCCCCCTAGCTGAAGAAGTGAACCTTGATGCTTCGTGATGTTACAAGTGTTCTGAATGGACACCTGGCCCCGGCTTACTGGGAAACAGCCGTGCTGGCACAAGTGGTTTATATTTTCTAACTGCTCTTTTTTCTATGGTGCTACAAAATCTACTTGAATGAAATAATATGATTAAAATAAACTGACAACAGAGACATTATTTTTCCTGAGAAAATAATCACCAGTACAAAGGCCTGGAATAATTCAAGTCCCTGGGTCAGAAACTGGCCTCCCTTATTTAAACTATATTAAACATTTTGAATGTTGAGATAGCGTTTCAGAACAGTACACGGACTCATTTTCCCTCCCTCTCTGTCCAGTTTCTATTACTGTCTGTCTAGCTATCTTATTGTTTTTCTTTTTCCACCCCAGTCACCTTTCTGTGGTTGTACATTATTTTGTCTTTTTTGACTTCGTCCTCCCTCTGTATTTCTTCCTGTTGGGGTTTTAGGAAGATAAAAATGTCACACCAACATCTCTCTACCCCTCCTAGTTCTAAACCAACTGAGAGATAGATGCAGGTGCTATATCAGGTAGACAGACCTCAAAAACCGTGCTGTGCTGCTGACACCAGCTGTGGGGTGCAGCTGTACACGCACAGCCCCTTGGGCTCCTTCCTGCCACATTCCCCTGGACTGATGGACCTGTCCACCTGGTCACTGTCACTCCTCGAGAGTGGCAGGTAAGACCTAGTGCCTTCTCTCAAGGTTTTGACAGAGTGCTAGCAGCCTCATCAGTAGGTTTGTTGGAGTATTTTTATTTACTGTTCGGTTTGTTCCCTTTCAAGCTAAGTTTTCATTTATTCTTTGAGACCAGTGTTTCTGCTAATGTAGTGCTGCATATAAGAGTCAATTTTATCGAGTAACAGCTTCTTGCTTTTTGGAGATGGTTAATTCATATACATCACATACCTTTAAATATGGAAAGCCATAATCTGCATCTTTGAATCCTAAAGCGGTGGATAGGGAATATATAATTAAAATCCCAAACTCCACAGTCACCACTGGATCGGGGAAGATGGCTGAGCCTGCAGACGAGCCACACCACTGCATGAGGTTGACCCCTTGACTATTTTCCCTTCCTTGGCCAAATTCAAAACAAAAGAAAGGAATAAAAAGCATAGGAGCTTTTGATCTTTGTGCTGCCTGGTGGAAAACACATCCAAGCGAAATTTTGCTATCTAAAGAAGGAAAAAGATACATTCTACCAATTGAGACAAGTTTTTGCTGAGATTAAATAACCTTTTCCCAGTAACTGAACCTCTGTCCAGAGCCTCCAGTTCAAGATCAAGTCAAGATTGATCGCTGTAGGCTCTAGCCTGTTGAAGAAGGACATTGTTAAAGTCAGGTGCACGACTCTAAAACCAGCTGTCACACAGGCTGCCCGTGGTGGCTGGGGCTTTTGCCTGTGTTGGGGAACTCACGGAGGTGGTGATGGCAAGGCTCATGGAGACCGAGCACCAAAGTGCAGCTCATAATCCACTCATATACTTCAAAGTTTCAAAAGAAACCTGAATACTGAGGTTTTAGTTTAGAAAAAACACCTCATACCTTGACATTTCGTGTTAAAAGAAAAACACAATAACACACATGTTCTAGGTTTACTACAACTGCACTAGAATGTCCACTCTGCCCAGGCTATCTTAGGACCTAACTCCCAAATTACATTCAGGTTTCTTTTTATTGTAAGCACAGACCTGTGAAGGTGCGAGTACATAGGTCATATAATCAGTTCCCTTGATTCATGTCTTATACTCTCTAAGATCAAGGTTCCTAGATCTACCTGCAAAATAGGAGAGAGAAGGCCTTGGGTTACCAGGAATAATCACCGAACTAATTTCCTCAGGACAGTTGAAATTGAGTGTGATGCCTCATAGGGGTTATAATATAAGGCTTCCAAAATTACCTATAGTGCAACATTAAAATAGTACTTCCTAATAAACTTGCTATTTAGTCCATAATTCTGTAGTGCTTCACTGGCCAAATATCTACTAGCTAAAAGCAAATGAAAGTTTGCTTCCAGCAATATTATGGAAGATGCATACTTCCTTTTTCCCTGTAATACAAATGCAGATCTTTAAATCTTGGATAAATATTTATAAAATATGTATTATCAATCTGTTTGTCATTTGTACAAAATGAGAAGGAATGAAATTGCATTATGCAGATCAAGTTTTATCTGCTGTGCAAGAGTATGCAACTCAGAACTTTGGAAATTTAGATTTCTGAAACATGTACAATGCTGGTTAGGAGGCCTGGGTGCCGTCTGGAAGACAGACCTCCACGGTGGTCAGTGTCCGGGGAGGTTGGCTTTGTGCTGGCGAGCATGGCTGTGTGCAGGCTGCTGCTTAGAAACCATTTCTTGTGCTGTCGTATCTCATCCCCACGGCAACCAGCACTTTCTGATGCTTCACTCAGCACACACAGGACATGCAAAGGGGACAGTGTCCTCCTGTGAAATAATAGCATTGTCACAGTCATCAGAGAAAAACAAGAGGAACTTCCCTTCCGCAGGAAGCACGCCTCTGGCCCACATCCATCTCAGGCTGCACCTTTTGGGGGAGCTCCCCGACTTGGCCTTTTGCCATCCAGAGAGGAAGGGAAAGAGGCAAGAGAGAGGACGGGAAATAATGAGCAAAGAGGAAACCTGCACTTTCATTTTGTCCTTCTCTCTGAGAGCTGCCGACTTTCCCACTGATATTTTTTCTTAGAAACACAGAGATTAACACAGAACCCAGACTTAAGCCACCAGTCCTGGAATTGTTTCTCATGTGAACTTGTCCTGGAGTAAGTAAACGGCACTTGCTGCTTGCAGACTTTTATGGGAAGAGAAGGAATCAGATTAGGAGTATCAAATTTGAACTTCTGAATTCCTTTGTGCCCTGGCCATTGAGTAGTAAGAACCAGGCGAAAGAGGTGTGAGCTTAGCTGCTGGACAGAAAGGAGGGCAGCAGGAGACGTGGTGCCCGGGAGCTGCACGGTTCGCTAACCGCACGCTTTTCTCACCCCCTGCCTGCTTCACTCACCTTCCTCCCTCCTCCTGTGGTCGGCGTACGGCCCTGGCCTCCCGCCACCCTGCAGCCTCCGGTCCTTCAGTTCCGACAGGTCTCACACCCTGAGCCACGCATCCTACCTGAGGGACAGCGCCATGATGGACGACGCCGTGGTCATCCCCAGTCACCAGGTACCGAGCCGCTTGCATTTCCCAATGAGGGGAATGTCCTGAGGAAGCTTTTAATCTAAAAATGAATCCTTCCTGATCCACTGGACAAGTTAAGATATGATTTGAGGGTTTTGAAATATGAAAAATGTTCACAAGATTTTTCAGGGAGAACTTTTTCTGTAGTATACTTTTTATTCAGTGGTACTAAATTCTTCTGTGGAGATTTTATATAAGTACTTATATTTTAAAGTAAATTTCTAAAAGAAAAAAAGGTTGTATTTATATATAAAATAAGTGGTACAACTTAACATGTAACCTTCAATATTTAAAATTGTTATTAACAAAAGCTTGGAAGATACTCTGGAATGTTTTTATTTTAGGTCTGATTTTTCATATGACTTGATGGATTGGATATAGGGAACTAGGTGGACACCTACTCTCTTTAAAGGCAGTTTGGCTAATATGACCTTACAGTAGGGATGTAATTTCAGAGGGAATGCAAGCTGGTTACCGGTGTGTGTCTCTAATCCCAGCACTCCGGGCATCCTGGCAAGTTCAGGTACAGCCTGGGCCACTTAGTAACCAATGAGACCCTGCCTCAAAATAAAAAGTTCAAAAGGGCTGGAGATGTAGCTTTGAGTGAAAGTCTCAGATTCAATCCCCAGTACAGGAATTATAAAAGGAATTACTTATAAAAAATTAGTTTGAAATGCTTTGGTCTTACACTTTTTAAGCAAAAGTCTTTCCAGGAAATACCACTTTCTTGGGATGGTACTTTATAGATTTCATTATAGTTTACTTTATTTGAAGCAAAGTTTGTTTTTAAACTTACATCCAGTATTCTTTGTGTTTAGGTGTCAACTCTAGCCAAGGAGGCAGAAAGGAATTCTTATCGTCTCAGCTGGGGCACTGAGAACTTGGACAACGTGGCTCTTTCTTCTAGCCCTATTCATTCAGGGTGAGTGAGTCCGTGTCATGTATCCAGATCTAGCACGCACAGTGAAGGGAGTAAAAGTAACAGCTTTGTCCAGGAGCTTCAGCTGGCGGCTAGCTTAGAGTGGAGGTGACCTTGGATCAAACTGGTGAATAACACTGTTCTGTCTGACAGGCGCTATCTACCAAAGTAAAAGAGCCAAAAGGGGTGAATTCAGCACAGAAATTTGACTGTTATGTTTAAATAATTGTCAGAATTGCATCGAAGAGCTTGCTAACTAACTAGAATCTCCTGGTGACCTCCTTAACTATCTAGATGCTGTCCTTAAGACGTCTTAAAAAAAGGGACTGAATCAGCTGCTTTCTAGAAAATTTCTATTTGTTGAGATTAACAGGTTTATTCACATTTTAATGCATGAAAAGTAATTTTTGCAGAAGTTGGAGTGAAACAGTTGTGCAGAGGAGTTCACAGCCTTTTTGACGTAGGGATGTAACTATGGGGAGGTGAAATGCATGTGGCGAGCCCTCCTCTGCTGTCCCTGCCTCCCTGGGCCGTCCAGAGAGCACGGACCACACTGTGTGATCAGCACTGCCTGGTTATTGCCTTACGAGACTGCAGGGCCTGGACCGCATCTCCAGACACAAAGTCTTCCTTAATGTGTGCGTTTCGATGGCATATAATATAAATTCCTTAAGGAGTTTTAAATTGGAACATTACTCCGATTAGTTTTTTCCTTACATTTTAGCAGTTTCAACAATATAGTAACACTCTAATTATATATAAAGTCCCCATGTTTTTCATTTAATTACTTTTTTAAAGCTCTACCACAATTTATCCAACAAAATAAAATACTTAGGTTTAAATTATTATTACAAACTTTTTATTTATAACCCGGGAAATATTTTGAGTAGTTGACTCTTTCTTACCTTTGTTTTTATAAAATAGTCTCCTTTTGTGAAAGTTTTCTAGATAATTTAGTTAAACATTTTGGATTGCTTAGTCTAATCTTCTACTAAATAAATACCACACAGAACAGTGATGGTGAACTTTTTGACACGTGTACCCAAACTGGAGTCAAAAACTTAACTTTATCTATTACAAAGTGCCACCACTGTAGTTAAACCTGAATGCTGCGGTTTTATTAATTTTTTGTGCAAATCCATTTTATTTCAAAGAGAAAAAGAAGAAACTAAAACTAAAACTAAATTTCAAAACGCATCAATCGGGGCAGCAATGATATCTACACTGCACATTATCATCCCCAAATCACTCACTCAGAGCACAGGACATCTGCATTCAGTGGTCTGAACAACACCAGCACAGATCTTTCTTTAATACTGAAGTTTTAATTTAGAAAAAACAACGTATACATTAACATCTTTTGTCTTAAAAGAAAATTAAATAATGTGTGTGCCATAGGTTTGCCACCACTGCCATAGAATTTATAACTTAGTTATATAGACATTGAAAATAGCCATAATATTTCCCTTATTAAATAAAGTTAGGTTCTGATTCAAGAATTTTTCAGGGAAATTAAAATTTAGAAGCCTTATCCGAATGTACTTACATATTTTAAGTATAAAATGAGATAATTAAATCTCACAGTTATATATCATTCAGAACCAAAACATTGCAGTCTGCTACTCAGTTTTTCAACAGTGAGAAATAGGAAGGAAAAGAGTCCTGGGCCTAGAAGATTGGAGGGAAATAGATGAGAATCTAGTAGTTATAAGGAAATATTTAAAGTCTCTATACACCCTATTGAAGAAATTACTTTAGATTTAATATAATTAACTAAAACTTTAATATAATTAACTAAAGCGAATTCTAAAAGAACTTCTTCCATCATTAAGGATAATAACTACTCAGTTTAAGTACATCAATATCCATAGTTATTGTACAAACTGTGTGCCATCTGTACATAATTATATAATAATGGTGGATTGCTTGTAATGAACCAAGAGCATCCAGTGGTTAAAGACTAATCACTTTTAAGATAAGGAATTATAAAAACCATAATCTCCAATAAACTCATTTTTCTATCAGTTTCAGTCACTTATCACTGACTGAGGAATTCTCAGCGCTGGTTGTATGCTAGAATTGCCTGGGAGCTATAAAGTATTCTGATGCCTGTGCTTCATCCCAGACCAGTTACACCTGGACCTTAGTTGTCAGGTCCCTGGCATTAGTATTTTGTACATCCTACTTATATAAATTATTAAAAAAGAAAAGCTTGATTCAATAAAGCCTTAATTAATGCAGAGACAATAATTAATGTATACTGAATTCTCTGACATATTCTTTGTCTCTTCGTTCCCTTGCCTGGTTATTCCTCACACATTTGTGGACATATTTGTGTACAGTTCCAGATGTTAAGCTAGCTCTAAAGAAAGTAGCTAAGGGATAGCAGCTCCTACCTGAAAGAAATGTCCTGTCACCTTGTTCTTGACATTGGAAGGTGACCTGTGGACTAGAGAGAAGTGTGGTGGTTAAGAGTGTGCTTGGTACCAGGAGACCCCAAGTCCAGCTCCCAACTCTGACTCTCACTGTGTAACAGTGAGGGACGAGTTATGTAGAATCTCTTGAGTTTCAGTGTGATGAGAGACATGTCACTGATTCTGTAGGAGAATTCTAAATATTTGATGCTTTTAAAATAATTAGCACTGGCCTCAAAAAATATAACTAGTCATTAGATTATAGACATTAGTATTTAATATACATCTTCCATTTTTTTTTTACAAATTGGCAAACGAGTTCAGCACAGTGTATTTTGAATCCTCTAAATGATAACACTAATGTGGCCTCCTACTATTTGACTTGTTATTTTTATCAGGCAATTTACTATCTTTTAATATCTTTACAATAATATTTGGACAAATACAGTGCCACAGTTGGCTCAAAGTGATGGTTAATTTTCCATGAAAACTTGATGATTCGAAGTATTGTGATATTTGAAAGATGCTCTGATGCTAATGTGTTTGAATAACTTTTGTGATATCATATTATATCATATAATGATAATTTCATGTACTTTATTCACTGTATATCAGGTTCCTGAGTAGTAGCTTTTTCAAGAAGCTAATTTTTGTTTTTAATTAATTGGATGATTCTTAAGTAACTTCACAATCTGTTCAAAATGTAAGGAAAAATGACTTTTTGTTAAAGGGAATAGTAAAGTTATCTTTTATGCATATGCCTCTAGTATGTGTGCATTTTGTTGAACTAAACTTAGTAAAGTTATTTTAGATTAACAAAAGGTGTGGTCTTTACCAGTAATCAGTGTTCATGGATTATTTCACCACCACTCCTGTGTTTTCAAGCACTAATGCTCGTAAGTAAAGGAGAATGGGTCTAAATATTGAAAACTTCACTGCTGGCAGAGGAAAGACTGTTTGTTCCTTTATTCTTTAAAGAGGTCCTTTACTGGTTCCCAATGAATCTAACCAACAGTTATTTCTAGCACCTTCAATCATGAACAAATCAACATAAGCTAGAACAAGAATTTTAATTTTATGATTCTCCTTAATTTTATGATGTAGCAGGTATAAAGCAAATTCCTCCCAAGAGCTAGCTTTATAACTGAATTTAATATTGTTGTTCCAAAAGTCTTTATTTTTGAAGTTTTGATAGCCAAGTTCTATCACTGAACGTTAACTCATGATACTGCACTATAAGATCCTGCGGTAACCCAGGTCCCTAACAAGATAATATGTAAAGAACTTCTGCTTTAAAAAAAAAATATGTTGAAGACAATTTTGCTGTGAGCCCTCCACTACTCTAAAAATAAATTCTGTTAAAATGTATTGAACATGTTTCTTCAAACAGTGGACTGTTTGAGTAGCAAAGAGGTCAAGTCTGTCGCTCACTTGACAGCAGTAGTGTTTAAGTCTTTCAGCATTTAATCTTCATGTATTTCCTAACATCGTGAGGTTAAGTACGGTTAAGTACGTGAGGTTAAGTAGGTCAAGTTGTTTGGATGAAGAAAATGATTTTATAAGTAGCAAAACAACTATTTTGCAAGATTGGATTTCCAATCTATTAAACATGTGCTTCCTATGTCATCCAGTGCTGGAGACGCAGGGAGTACAGGAGAGTGTCCGAGGGCTTTAAGGAAGAGCAGTCCCAGGAAGGGGAGGTGCTGGGCAGCACTGCGGAGGGCATGAGCAGTAGGTCCAGCGAGCGAGACCACAGTCCGCAAAGCAAGAAACGAGGTCTGGAAGGAAAATGCTGTGACTGCATTTTCATAGCTTTCTGTTACCCACTAGTGCGTAATTAATGTTACTTACTCCGCCTTACAGCTTTTGCTACTGTTTGTCATTGAAGTACCCTTTAAGTGGTCACATCTCATCATTTAAAAAGTAGTGGAAATATAAATGAAAAGCTTTTGAGTCAAAACGATGTCCATCACCTAAAAAACTTCGTGTTTTTGGTTATTACACCGCTTGATATCTACAGGTTTTTGGATACTTTTAAAAATATCTCCACATGCTACAAACCCAGGGGTTTGCTAACATCCCATTTCCCAAGCTGGGAAACCTACAAAGCCCCATATTTTGTTCTTCTCTCAGCATTTGCAAAGAGCTGTGTTCCGTTTGTATCCCCAGCCTCTTTTCCAGTGAATATTATATGGGTGTATGAATTACATATTTCAGTTGAAAGTCACTCTGGTTTCATTCTTTATATTTCACTTTACCCATTCCTTCTCTGTGCTAAAGTATCTATTCTGTTGCAGCCGCTCCTCTCCATGTCTTGATCGTGACAACAGCAGGTGAACTTCCGCATTTTCCTTCCCTGAACATGTCGCCTATTCCTCCCTCCCCTGTGCCACCTCCTTCGGGATGCGCCCGCCTCAGGATGCTTTAGTGTGGAAGATACCTAGCTAAAGAGATACCGAGGGTTACAGTCTCCAAACCGTGGGCATCACTCAGTCTCCCTCACTGGGAAGCAGCGGGTGTGGTTAAGGCTGGTGGAGATTAGGTGGGGCTATGACAGCGTGACTGGATTGCCTGTCTTGGGCACAGGTCTCCACGTCACAGCTTCTTTTGTGAACAAAAGTGCTGCACAGAACTAAAAAACATTCACAACAATTAGGCAAATTGGTTGAGCTGTTTTAAAGTTTTGTTAAGGGTTATGATTTTAAGTGGCATTTAGTAGGGAATTTTTTCCTTTGTTTTGTTTTATCATTCCGTATTCTAGGCGAGTGAAAGGCTGAAGTTATTAATAATCTCTTTCCTCACTAGCACACCTCCATGTGCAACCTTTTGATATTTTGATAACCATGCTATAGAATGACTTTAATCAGCATTCTGAAAATAGTGGTTATTCTATGTTACTTAATCGTATTTCTAGAGAATTTTCAGACTGCTGATTAAAGTGCTTTAATTCTGTAGTCAATGATACATCAGTCTACAAATAAAATAATTTTATTTATTTCTTTGGTTTTTCTCAAATGTCCCCTAAACATTATGTTTTTATGGATTGATATAGAGATTAATAAATAATTTTGAGGTGATTTTTACAAATTTGAACCACCTTTTTACAAGGCCATTTTTCATCAGCTTTTCAGTATATGGCAGTTGGAGAATTAGGGAAAGACCAAGGGACTTCTGAAGGACAGAGAGCTCCTAGTATGGTTTTCTACATTTCCTTAGAAAGGAGATTGAATCGGAGGCCCTCTTGCTATGTATATGCAGACCACTGAAGCACCCTGAAGACTTTATCCCCTGTTCTCTCACCCAGTAACTAACTGAATGCTGCAGTCTCTTCCCTGTCCTCATCCCACAGTGCTGGGTGCATTTAAAGTAAATTAAGTGCCAGTAACTTTGGGGTGGAGGATGTAGTCCTCAAAAAACCAAAATCATTGATTTTTGCTGCTCTTCTGAAGCATGTACCTATTTAGCTAATCAAATTGTGTATTCATAGGCAAGTGATCTGCATAATAATGGTTGCTTTTGCATCAGTTCTTTTTAAATTGTGATAATGTTATATCTCACAATTTAGAAACCTTCAATAAGAGTTTCTACTTTGCATGACTGCTGAATTTCATTTGGAGAGTAAGGTAATGCAATAAAGTTGCAAGTGACCTGTGACTATCCTAAATCAACATATAGTACAGTATGCTACACATTTTCAGCAAAACAGGTGTTACAATCTTAGAGCAAAAATAACATAGGTATCTGGGAGTAACAATGGTTTATCTCCAGTCAGGAATACTTTCAAAATATTTGAAATGGAGTATCTCAGCAGGCTTTTTAACCTAGTTGACAGTAAACTGCACATAGCACTTGAACTTTGGGAGGTAACTTTCAACAAAGTCTTTTATTTTATAGATGAGAAAACTGAATCTTAAAAATGTCAAATGACTTGCCTGTGACTACAGAAATAATGTATGTCAGGATAAAACTATACCAGGAAAGAGTATGGTACCTTATCCTATGCTCTGTGATAGCAGTATTTTCATATCTTACATAATAGCGTATTTCCTAAACTTTTAAAAACTATCACACCATTAAGACTGCCTAATCCAGATCCAGGTTTATTGTAGGTTCTTAAAAAACTATTAGTTTTCCTAGTTTTAGATTATAAGTTTTAAGAAATCCAAAATATACAGAACCTTGTGGCCAAGGGGCAGAAAGACAATGGAAACAAGAAGTGATTGAATTGTGCATGCTTCATTCACGTGTGGCTTCATTCTCACCTCTGCCGGGTGGTCCAGGACTGCCCCTCACTGCCAGGCAGAGGCTCTGGGTAAACCTCACATCCTACAGGGCTGAAACATCCCCTGTACAGGATTTCATTACACATCTTTACTTTCATTCTTTTCCTTTTTAAATGTATGCAGGTGCTATCATGTCTCAATTTTAATCTCTCCAAAACATGAGAAAATCATTTTTGTTTGGTCAGTTCCAATATGGGAACTGACCTGTCTTGTGAGTCATGCCTTCTAACCTTCCTCTTTTTCCTATGATGCATAGAGGTCAATCACCTCTTTCCGTTTGCTTTTCCTAGTGGTTTTATGCATTCCAGAACCACTGTCACCTAAAACTACTACCTATCCAAGCAGTGACTGTTTTTATGAAAGTTCTCAAATGTTTACCCAGTTTTCTATGCGCTGTTGAGATTGATTAGCATATTGACTTTTACCAGCAGACTTTTTTAAGATTAGCCCCTTGATATAAGCGTGTCATTGTTTTTCCTGTCTCTTCTTAGTTAAAGAAAAGATTTTTTAGCATGCAGTTTCATAAGTTTAGCGCTTTTTTTTGGTGGCAGCTATATTATTTTAGTCTGATTTGTTTAGGATATTTTCCTGCTTATAACATTTTCATTTACTTTGACTATCAATACTTAGTTCTTTCATGGCTTCTGATACTGCCAGTTTTTTTTTTATAACTTCTTTCTATTTCTCTTTTTTCTTTTTCTAAAGAAAATTTTCTCACTAGAACTTGTTTTCTGTTAGTCTGCATCATGTTAGTTACTCAATAATAACATGAATGCTTATTTTTTTAGAAATTTAATTTTGCCCTGAATTGTGCATATTGACACTTGATTTTTCTAATATGAGTTACATATTGGAAACTGGCACAATACTGAAATATTATTTTCTTGGCCCATAGTGACAAGGAAATACTTACAGATAAATTATCTACTAGCAGCTTCCATCTATGAGTTCTTTTACTTTGATTTCCCCATCTTTGGTCTTTCTTCATACAATTTATACTCCTAATTAAATTATTTGTTTTATCAGATTTGAGCTCTTGGTGTTTAGTTACTCCCATTTTCTATTAATCCTCTACCAAGAGAAATATAAGGTCTCTCATTTTGGAGCAGGCAATTTAAATGAAAGATCGTGATTTCCACCTGCTTGGCTGCTTCTGAGAGTCACATTTTCTTTTCTTTTTTTTTTTTTTTTTTTTTTGGTCTTTTTCCTTTTTATCGGTACTGGGGATCGAACTCACGACTACCTGCTTGCAAGGCAGGAGCTTATGCCGCTGAGCTAAATCCCCAGCCCCGAGATTCACAATTTGAAAGTGTTCTCAGTGATATAATCGCCCAGAGACCCAGGAATTCAGTTGCCTCCCACATTAGCCTTCTGTGTTGTGCACAAGTATGTGCAGTTTCTCATGACTTGCCTTTTTGCTCTTCCATTCACTCATTTATTCAAAATTATTTGTTGACTGTCTTCTACATCCTCTGTGCACACTGCGCTAGGCACTAGAGTACACGGGAAGAAATGCGAGAGCTAAGTCACTGCCAGTGGGGCTCCGAGTGGCCCTTACAGATGACGTCTCGTGGACAGGAAGTGATGAGACCGTGAACTTTCTGGCAGCAGCCGCTATTTTACTCTCTGTGTCCTCAGGTACCAGTGGGGTATAGCCAGAGTAGGAGAGCAGCAAAAGTCACACGAAAAGGAACGTAGAAATAGAAATCTCCAGTGAGATAGAATAGAAAGAGGGTTCCAAAATCAGAGGGAAAGATCTAACATGGAGTTACTTAAACATTGCTACTGTCAAGAGCATGGACACTCAGCTCACTCTTTAGAAACTAGACCACTAGATCTTACCTTATGTCTGCTTCTAGGTAGAAAACTGATATTCTGCAGGCTATGAGCTGTCACTCACCTAGTGACAACATAGTGGAAGTGTGATCGCACACCAGGGAGGAAATTTCTTAAATGCCTCCAACACGTACAGATGCTAGCAATTCAGGTTTAAACAGATAATTGTAGTAATTCCTCACTTATTTCAGTCCCTTTTCTATTTTCCCATGGTGATAGTAATCAAAAGTTTTTTAAAAACAAAGGAATTATTAACCTTAATTATCAATGTATCAAAAATAGTGTGAGGAATTGGGAAATAATTAGTTGAAACTTTTTACTTTTAATGAAAATAAATATAAATACCATACTCAAGAATAATAAAATGAAAAGGAAACTTCTATATTCATCTAGAATTGTTGCCAGAATTGTTTTATTCTTTTGAGCAGCCATCCATTTAAAAGTCAAATAAAAAATAATTTTTTAAAAGAATTCAAATTGAAAACCAGTCATAAGAAAAGAGCCAGCATTTCCTCATGGTGTTTTGGTAACGACCAGAAGCATCAACACTTCGGTCCTGAACTGTTGATTGCACTCCTGGTTCTCGGCCTCCTGAACACTCCATGCCCCTGGGCAGGGGCTGAGCGGCAGGCCTGCCTGGCTCCTGCATGCGGGTGCGGGGGCTCCTCCATGGCCTCCTGCTGCATGACGTGCTTCGGCCGGGCGTCCTGGGCTCCTTCGCGCCTGCGTGTGTCACTAGCCACAGGGTTTCTGTTTAATAGCATGCTTAATGAGATCTGTGTTCTGCCGTGGAGAGGATACTAAGATATTTTTCTTCACTCGTCTAAAAATAACATAAATGTGTTGTGTTCCTATCCCATAACTTACATTGATGAAACGTCTTTCAAATGTTTTCTGTGTCTTTTTGGAGGCAATATCTAGGTGTTTCAAAGCTCTAAGTGAACCCCAGGAAACACCTATATGTTGCTTTCCTTTTTATGTTTTGGTGTAACGATCTTGCAAATGCAGTAAAAACGGGGCAGGGGCGTCACCTGTAAGTCTGCACACTGTGTGTATCCTTGTGTGTGTGCACGACACGGAGACTGTCGTGTTGTTTAATTTTTGTTCCTTGAGAAAGTGTCTGAGGAATTCTATGAGTGTTAGAAGTAACACAGTGATAGTCATTCACATTCGGTTGGCTCAGGACACGTGACGCTCGCAGAGTGAGTTGAGACAAGCACTTTCTCTTGCTACACTTAGCTAAACTGAGGCACTTTAGATTGTAGTTCTCTCTGGCATGAACTATTAGCAGACAAGGAGCAAAAGTAATGGAGATGATTTCTGCATTTCTAAATTATGATTCTCCATAATCTGTGTGTTACAATTTGAGAAAAACTCACACTGAGCAGAAATTTGTCGCTAGCAGGAGCCCAAGGTTCCCAACCCCGGAAATCACACTTCAGGAAGAGGTCGAGGGTGCTCTGGTTGTTTCTAATTCCGGAACCTCCCCTCTTTGAATCAGTGAGAAGATGGCAGAGAGATTTCTATTTAAAAGATGAAAACATGAATTTTAACAACCAAATTTATGCTACCTCCAAAAATTAAGTTGTTTTGCTTTTCTTTTAAAATGGAATCAGTTCATAAATTTGCATGCCAGATAAGATTAGGATGCTTTGGCATGAATTTGACTTTGGGAGCAGTCTTTGCAATTTTTTGAATTAATTTAGAAAAACCATAATTTGGTCTTTCTAATATATCCTTGCTTTCTTTCAACTTGTGAATTACTCAAGACACATATACAAGAATGTTTTTGTATTTATAACAAAAGGAGACATCCATATTTTTAAGTAATTTTCCAATTTCTTTCAAAGTCTGGTTCAGTACATTTACAGTTCATATTTAAAATCAACATTGTCAAGAAAAATTATGTCTTTAGTAACAGATGAAAATTGTGCAAAAATTAAAACAACATAACAAGCAGAAATAATGACATTGTCATAAAGTAACTTTTGAAAACAAATGTCTTACCACCATGCTTAAACAGAAAGGAGATATTGTGAGAACAAAACACTCAGGAAACATTAACTTGCAGAGCATGTTTGTGTGCTGGAATATTTTGACAGGTGTCTAAGCTTCTCTTCATTTTTAGTTTCCTGGTTAGTTTCATGGTGGATGCCCGAGGGGGTGCGATGCGAGGATGCAGACACAATGGACTTCGGATCATTATCCCACCTCGGAAATGCACGGCGCCCACGCGAGTCACCTGCCGCCTGGTCAAACGCCATCGCCTGGCGACCATGCCCCCCATGGTGGAAGGAGAAGGCTTGGCCAGCCGCCTGATCGAAGTCGGACCTTCTGGTGCTCAGTTCCTTGGGTAAGGGTTTCTGATAAGCCTCACACTTAGTTACCGATGAGCTTGTGTCCTCTACACGAAATCTCTAGAGCGGAGTAGAAAAAGGTAAGTGAAACGCTTACCTATGGTGCCTATGAAATATTTAAAATTTGCAAGTAGCACCTCAATGCTTGGCCCACTTTCATGCCTCTTGCATTAAGGCATGAAGGAGTTAAACATTCAGGTTATTATTATTTCCCTTGAATGTGGTATTAGCTACAAGATTTCCAGTGTGAATTACCAAGTATGAGGTCATGGTAGGTATTTTTTTTTTTTCTCTTCTGAGAGTTAAGTGGCAAACTACAAAGAAAAATATTCCTGCTCTATTCAGAACATAAGTTTTAAGTCTCATGTAACTAGGAAGCAGAATCATTCTCTTTGTTCTGGAGGCAGTGTTGCCTTCTAGGGTATTTAAAAATTTAGTCTGGGCTGGGAGTTTGGCTCAGCAGCACAAGTGCCTGCCTGGCAAGTGCGAGGTCATGAGTTTGATCCCCGGTACCCAAAAAAACCTTTTTTTTTAGTCTGTGTGATTTGTTTTTTCTGTTATCAAAATTGCTACCTTGAGCCTTAAAATTACATGGCTGGCCATTTAGTCACAATTCATTTTAAAGACAAAAACATCAAGACTGACTCCTCCTGGGCTCATTTTGGCAATTTTGAGCAGCAGTTAGCATTCTTCTTCCTTTTGTTTAAGGGGCTGCTGTTCTATGAAGTAGCATCTCACTGTCAGGAAGTGAGTAGCTGCCACTAAAGCTGACAAAAGGTTGAAGCTTTGGAGGGGGACCAGTTTCAAAACATTTTGAAACAAATCAATTGTATTTAAGTCTTGTCATAAGAAGTTCCAGTGCTTGAAAATCTGGGAGAAAACCTTATTACTTGTGAACTCCTCTGTGTTGTCCACATCATACTGGGGAGATGATTTCTTGCTTTAGAACTCAAGAAACGTTCTGAAGCCTGTAATTTAGAGCAAACATGAACAGGTTGCTCCAAATTACTCTCACACCCATGAAGGGGTGCGCTGGTATTTCCCAATTATAGAAACCACCTTGTAGCGTCCTTCCTCAGGCAGAGCAGAGCTTCAGGAGGAGCCTGTGAAGCTCTGGGTTCCTCAGAAGATGCCGTTATGGTTGGATCAGTCCTGTCCTGCCCCATGCCAGGCCCTTTGCCCTCCAGCTGAGGTAGTTCTAGGCTTGTAATGATCTTCCGATCCGTCGGGAATATCCATGAAAACCACTGGCCTCTGGACAGAGCAGGGTTTTTATCATATTCCCGACAGCCTGTCTTTCCTGTGGAGCGTTTCCTTTCATCTTTTTGGCTCATGCCCTGGCAGTGAACCTAACTAGGGCCACCCCCTCCACCGGCCCTCCTTGCACAGGCGCCTCCATTGTCCACTCTGGTGTCAGCTCCTTACTCTTTGTGACCAATGGAGGGGACAGAACCACACGCAGTGTGAACCCAGAGTTCACCCCGTGGATCAGCTGGTGATGCTGGGGTTCTGTGGCGAACAACACCTGAAGCTTACTTATGTTCTTTCTTTCACTGCTGCTTTGGATATACTCAGTAAACTTCACCTGCCAACGGCTCCTCCCCCACTTAATGAGGGAGAAAGTTTGGTCAGCCGCATCCTGCAGCTGGGGCCTCCTGGAACCAAATTCCTTGGGTAGGAGTGACTTAAAACAAATTGATGGCTGCTGGCCCCCATTCTCCTCCTCCTTCTGCAATATGATTTCTCTCTGTCATTGTTGCCATGACATGTCCCTCTCTATGATTTAAACTCTGTATGACCTATCTTTAGTGGACCGTTTCTGACCCTGTGGTATGTGACTTTTATTTTGGAGTGATGTTCTTATATCTTTTCCCTTAAAGTGCTGTGACCTTCATTTTTGTTTAAAGCATGAGATCTGCCTAGTTGTACTATGTGCTAGTTACAATGTTGTTATGATGTTTGGAGTCTGTATCAAAGCAACCTGGACTCAAAAAATCAAAAGCCTCTCTATATTCTGAGGGTGAATGTGACCTAAACGTTGTAGAAAGGTGCATGTTCTGGGTGCTGAGTGTTAACAGGCATTGGGCACAGCTGGTCTGTCCACCAGAGGGCTCGTGAAGGGCCACACTGTGTCTACATGCCTATTGTTTCCTTGGATGGAGAAAATACAAGCAAAACCCACGAGTGCATGGCTCATGAGCACGAGTGGTCTCCCTTCCTCCCATCTCCTCATTCACGACACACTGCCACCTGCCACCTGTGAGCCATTCTCCCTCCCAAGCCATTTGTCATTCTGCACCTTGTAGAAGATGTCTGTAGGAGACTGGCATACTCCAGATGTGCATGCACATTTCTTTTGTGTTAAGTTTATCAAAGGAGATGTTCCAGAATGCCACATGCACTCACAGGGAAGCATCATTTGGCTTAAGGTAGCAGCATGTCCCAGAGGACCAGTGCCCCTGAGGCGGGGTGCTACTATGCAACCATCTGCTAGCCTGTGGGCCCTAGAGGATGTCCCGTTAAGTCCCCATCCCAGAAAGAGTGGAATTCCAGGTCACTTTGCAACAGACAGGGTGGAGGTGCTTGTCTTGCTGTCGCTTAGCCCTCGCACACTAAGTGTTCTGTGTTGCTGTGTCAGGCCTGTGATCGTGGAGATCCCTCACTTCGCGGCCCTCCGAGGGAAGGAGAGGGAACTGGTGGTCCTGCGCAGCGAGAACGGGGACAGCTGGAAGGAGCATTTCTGTGAATACACGGAAGATGAGCTGAATGAAATCCTGAATGGCATGGACGAAGGTAATCTGATTAAGAGTTTTAGGAGAAGCCTAGGGTGTAAGCATGAAAAATGAAAACTGCATTTCTTTCTTATAACATAGAATGTGTGCATGCATGCATGTGTGTGTGTGTGTCCCTTGTGGTATTAGGCCACACCAGGTCACCAGCTATGTCTCAGCAGCAATGAGTTGGAATGCACAATACATTTACTTGATCTTGCTCCTGTTCATTCAGGGAAATAAAATCCTTTAAGACAGTCAGCATCCCATTGTAATAAGAAGGCAGAACATGCTTCCATTCACTGTTTAAACTTTTTAAATCTAAAACCAGTGGTGGAATTGATATTGTTGCTGTGTGACAAGATAAACTGATACTGAAAAGCAAACTGAGATTTTAGAAAAGTCTAACTTGATGCAAGGATATTTTATCTGTTATTACGGAGGTAGAAATATTCTTCATTCAGTCTTCCATTGGTAATTCAGACAGGGAGTTAGCCAGCACTGAGTTGTGTACATACACATAGGTACAAGCCAAGTTTTTTATTAGAACCTTAATGTGGATAAATCCCCAGCATATCTTGGGCCAGGAAACCACAGATGGGAAGATCCCTGACAAGGGAAGCGGGATGTTCTTGGATCCCCAGAGGGTGCACAGGGGAAGTCTTCATCCCACTGCAGGGCACATCCCACTTCCAGGAGCCACGGCACCTAGGGAAAGTTGTTCGTCTAAGCGCCAGGATTCCTCATTTTGTGAGAAGCTGGGCACCTGGTGATAAGTATAGCTCCTTAGCAAATTTATTCATCTCCCTAAAGTCGAGATAGCTTAATTTCAGGGATGGCTCAAGGATAGTGGAGAATAAATTGTCCACAGCTTCTTTAATATCTCTTACTATTCTAAGAATAGAGAAAGGACAGGCTGTATCTAGGTCCAAGGTAGAAGAGGAAAAAGTTATACCCTCTGAACACGAGGGTCAGTATCTCTCAAGCAAGACAGGAATACCAGAAGTCTTACATCAGGGACAAAGCTTGTTCCTTGCAGCATGTTGCTCTGAAAGCATTCAGGGTAGGGTAGGGTATTTCCCTCAGAGGTGTGGCCTGCCCTCCACATGATGCAAGGACCACCTCCTGCCTTTGGGTGGGGACACACTCTTTTAAGTTTTATATGTGAGAAGTTCACTCTGAAGCCAAAACATCAGGTTCGTTTATGTTTGTGCAGTGGGAAATGTACTTTTTATAAGTACTGTGTTTCCTCCAAAATAAGACTTAGTTGGAAAATAACCAGCCTTGAAAACTTCCTTCCCTTCCCTTCCTTACAGAGGAGCTACTGAGCAAGAAATTAGTGACAAGCAAGAAATTAGTGACAAGAAATTAGTGACAGGCAAGCACAGGTTGCCTGGGCTGGCATTTTTATCTCTTGTTTTCAAGGCTGATTACAGTATTTGCCATTTAGGCCTTATTTTGGGGGAAAGAGGGTATACGTTAGAAGGATCAGTGTATTAGTCTTTAATTGTGTACATTCAAATCTCGGGGCTTCTGCCTTCTACTATACTGTTATACTCAGTAGTCAATAAGAATAGAGTTAGCATTTCTACGTCTGTGATGATTAGTAAATGATTTCTAAAAATGAAAAACTTTCCATGATCCCTTAAAATTCAATGAATGACTTAGTTCACATTTTCCACATTGTAAAACAATATGAGTTTTTTTTTGTTGTTGTTTTTTTTTTTGTATTGTACTAAGTAGCTGCACCAGCACAAGGTATAAGCCTGCCCTCCTGATAGTAGGTGGTGGACTTAGTGAGTCCCTGGCATTTCGGGAATGTTGGGGCCTGGAAACCATAGTCACCAATCTTTGTTATATCCACAGTGATTATCACAGAGCCCACTATCTCACTGGAATAAACACAAACCTTACTTACCCTTTGAAGACAGACTTCACTCTTCACCACTCTCCAGAGAACACAGAAGGCCATTGTATTTCTCAAAACCACAACCACTGGTCTTATGCTAACTTTGAAATTTGAAAAAAAAAAAAAAAAAAAAAAAAAAAAAAAAAAAACCAAAAACGCCTATTTCATTTCCAACTTCCTCCATAACCAAGAGTATAACAGGCCCATTTCTCTTGCGCATTTGTGCTCATACGCCCTGATTAACCAGGCTGCCCTAAAACCTCACATCTGGCAGGAGACGCCTTTCTTTTGCAATGCCCAAGAAAGTCCTAGTTTTCACAAAGAAAGAAAGTGTAAGCTGGATATTGGTGGTTCTTGAAAGATTGCAGGGTTTAGATTTGTCTGGTATTATGTAGCCTTACTTTTTATATTTTCCCATTGCTTAAAAAAAAAAAAATAAAGGAGCTGCATCTCTTCACCATGAACTGTACCAAAGAGTTGGCTAGGCTCCTTCCTCTTTCCTGAAGGAAGTCCTTGGTATATATAGATGGGCCTTTCTTTTTTTAGTGCTGGACAGCCCAGAAGATTTGGAAAAGAAACGAATCTGCCGTATCATCACCCGTGACTTCCCACAGTACTTTGCAGTAGTGTCACGCATCAAACAGGACAGCAACCTGATTGGCCCAGAGGGAGGTGTGCTGAGCAGCACTGTGGTCCCCCAGGTGCAAGCCGTCTTCCCAGAGGGTGCGCTGACCAAGCGGATCCGTGTAGGCCTGCAGGTATGCCCATGTTAGCTGCCCAAACCCCTACATGGTTTGCATTCTTGAGGTGAAAAATTAGTTTTGTAATTGAAAACCAAAGTGTTAAAGAGACTGAAAACCAAAGTGTTAATGATTTTCCTGGTAAGCAAAAGTTACCATTGCATTGGTGAGCACAGGTCTAATGGTACTAAACTTGTGATTGTCATATTTGACCCCCTCCAGAATGATGTGTGAGACAAAATGTAAATCTCTGGGTAAGACATTTGACATTAAATATAAGAATATCAATGTTTTTGTTTTTTGTTTTGGTACCAGGGATTGAACTCACGACTTGCTTGCCAGGCAGGTGCTTATACCGCTGAGCTAAATCCCTAGCCCTAAATATAAGAATAGAGTTTAACGTTTTTCTCTTGTTTGTCAAGGCTCAACCTATGCACAGTGAGCTGGTTAAGAAGATCTTAGGCAACAAAGCTACCTTCAGTCCTATAGTCACTTTGGAACCTAGAAGAAGAAAATTCCACAAGCCAATTACTATGACCATTCCTGTCCCCAAAGCATCAAGTGATGTCATGTTGAATGGCTTTGGGGGCGATGCACCGACCTTAAGACTGCTGTGCAGCATAACAGGTGAGTTGTGTGTGACTATGTTAGTGGAGACTTTTGGAAGAAGAAATGTAGACAACTGCAAAAATTAAATTCTCTTGTTTATAAGATGCTTGCTGAATTCTATAAATTTATTTAGGAAAAGTATTTTTAACTTACTAGGGAGATGAAAGATAAAGAGAACTATTTCAGAAATAAACTATGGATATCAAAATTCTTTCTTTTCCTCTCTCTCTATATATAGTCACACATGCATAACGTCATTTAAATCTTCATAGAAACTCTTACGAGGAAACTTCAGCACTAGTGGTAAAAAGGAAACTAAGCTTGAGAGAATTTCTATAATTTGCCTGAGTTACACTAAAAATATTTGGTTGAACTAGTATTTCAAAATGACACTCAACAATGTCAAAGACTAGGCCTTAAAATTTTCATTGAAAACCTCACATTATATCACCTCGAATTATTCTACTCAATAGTTTAATCAAACTGTTCCATCTAGGCTCACTGATGTACTGGAAACAGAAAGCAAAAAATTTTAATGATTGTCTGCCAAGTGCAAGGTCCTGAGTTTGATCCCTGGTACACACACACACACACACACACACACACACACACACACACACACTCTAACTGATTTTGGTCATTTCAATTGATCTTTGTAGTAGCTTTCAGACAACTGCTAACCTCTCAAAATACATTCCCAAAACATTGACTGTCTCGTCATAACAATGCCACTACAAACTGGCAAAGGTAAAAACATTCATACCAATAACCTCATTTAGGGCTGCTAGTTTGATAATTTCCCCATTTTAACAATGATTGTGTGGTACTGACATTCAGTAAACATTAACTCTATCAATAATAGGAACAGTAACCATTCCTGCTTAATTGTAATATTACTTGACCTTTTTTTCAGTTCAGATTGGCAGAAATGTTCACCCTTATTCTTTTTCTTTAATCCTTCCTTCTTATTAATGTGCTTTTCATATTTATGATAGAAAGCCATCAAAATTATCCCATAAGTTTAGTAATGTAGCAAAATTGTGGGATACCCGTTCTGTGATGAATGTGGGGGCCTCGCCGCTTCCCTCCTGCCTCCGTCGCTGTCGTCATCTTTCTGGCTGACGTTCTGGGGCTTTCCCGTGGCTTTGCTCCATGGTGTGTGGCGGAGGCTCCCAGGATGAGTCGGACGTGACGCCCGTCCATGCCAGGCCCACTCAGGATGCTGTGCGTGCCCGGCTGCCTTTCAGTCCCTTTCCTCCAGGGTTGCGTCTCACATGGGCTTTTCCCTCACAATTCCTTATTTAAAAATTAATTAAAATTACTTTTAAAAAATTAAATATATTTATGTGTTAATTTTAATAGCCAAGGGCTTAAGTTTTTGTATTTTGCTGTAGACAGGTCTACTGTAATACACATTTTAAACTTGAATGCCTTCTGTAAGCTTCCTTTGCTAAGCCATTCCCTTCTTCAAGACACTTTCGAGTCAAGACTTGCCCTCATCTTGGCATACATTTCTCTCACAGCACTTCATTATTTTGTCTGTACCTTTGTCAAAATGACAAAACTGTCATTTTGTTCTTCTGTTATTTTGACTCTTAATTCTTTAAAAGTGATTCTTGAAAATTCTTTGAAAGTAGAAATGTCGCCCTCAGCCTTTATGGCGATTTTTCTATGTACAAAGGAATTCTTTACTAATCATTTATTTGTTCATTCACCCTGAACTTTTAGTACTTTTCAAACACTTCACTTGTGCAATCTTCATTGTAAATTGAGAAGAAATTTCATGTTTTGAAAATAGTTGCACAAAATATGAAGTCCAGAAACCTGAGAATGTTTTAATGGCTCCTCATTTTAATGGAGTACTCAGCTTCTTAGTTGGTCAAGGAATCTTCTGAAATCATCAACTAGATACAATTCAAAATTATCTTCAAAGCCTAGCAGTCACACCAGGTGCTTCGGAATGTCAGACAGAGACATTCTGAGTAGAATTATTCAAATAACTTCCCTTAAGTTAGTCTCTTGAAAGGTGATGTTTGTTTTCAGTGTGTCATTCCTCACAGGTAGACTTTCCATTCTGTTCTGCGTGCCTCACTTTGGGGACTGGAGCAGGGTCAGCTGGGGAGCTCTGCCCACTCTCGCACTCTGTTATTCCAGGTGGCACCACCCCCGCGCAGTGGGAAGACATCACAGGAACCACACCACTCACCTTCGTCAATGAGTGTGTTTCCTTCACAACCAACGTGTCTGCCAGGTATGCAGAAGCAGGGCAGCCCACCCCACTTCCCTGCCCCAACCGTGGCTTCATTCTTCAGTTATTCTGACTCTTAATTCTTTAAAATGATCTTGTTTTGTTCCATTTTAAGTAAGGTCTGGACCTGTCAGCAAATGCTAGCAGTGCACCAAATCCTTCCAGTTGTGAAAATCTAAGGACATCTGACTGCTTGATCTGCTAAACCCGATCCGGACTCGGGTTTAGCAGCCAGTGTTGATGTTCTCAGTGAGGAGGAGAAATTCCCATTGCTGGTAAAACCGGGATTCGCTTAAATGACTTAGTGATTTCAGGGGCGTTTATACACCCTAACACATTTACAAATATTACCCAATCATTTACCACACATCTCTTAAAAAGCTGACAATATCTACTTTTTTTAATGGACACATTAGCTCAGTGTTTTAATGTTAGTTCCCCTTTGCAGGTCTTTAAGATCGCATCTTCATCTGAGCATCGTCATCTTCTTTAATTGGCTATTACATGGCTGGTGACTGAAGTAGAGAAGAGTCATTGGGTGCATTTTACACTGACAAACTGACACTAAGATTAGGTAAACCCTAAGTTCCTGCGGAGGTAGGAGAAAAGGCAGAAGCACAGGAATGGGAAGATAGGGCTCCCCGCAGTGGCCCCCTCTGGAGTTCCTCACTCAGGCTTGACTGTATTTCTGTGGCTCAGGGCCGCCTGCATCTGATGCCAGCAGGAGCTGCGTCCTGAGAAGAGGACAGACCAGAGCGCTGGAAGTGCCTCAGGCAGGGTGTTGTATAGTTAGGGTGTCTGGGAAGCAGGAACTCTTGTGATACATGGGGAGCCAGATAGGCAGATTGGATGGGACAGAGAGGAATGTGAGCGGGGTGCCAAGGCCGAGTGTGGCAGGGGTGTGAGGGGTGTAGCAGAGCTCTGTTTGCAAGCCAACCTCTGGCTCATCAGGCAGTCGAGTAGGCCAGGGGAAGACGCATAAGTTAATCCAGAGGCCAGTGCCTATTCAGCACTGCCTCAGCGTGGTTTGCTTCACAAGAATGTGGTAAGAACCAGAGGCCGCCACACTGAGCTACAGCCCCAGGTCTTTGTATTTTTTATTTTGCCCATGCTAGGCTAGACTGGTGATTCTGCCTCCCAAAGTGCTGGCACTGAAGGCGCAAACTCTGCAGGGTTTGTAAATGGTTGAGGTGATGGGGCCAATCTTGGTAACTGGAGAGTTCCTTGGAAAAGAAGGAAGAAGAGGAGAATACATTTTGTTAAAAAGCTTCAGGAAATAAAATAAGGGAGGAGAATCAAGGAAAACCAGGTGTCCTTCAGCAAGGTCCTGTCCTAAGGTCCAGTACTGACGGCGGAAAGTGCTGAGGGGTCTGACAGTGCATGTGAATCCAGCACGCAGTCTGAGGAGGAAAGGCACAAAGATGGTGCTCGGTGGCCGTCCCTGGCTCCCTTCTCCCCATCCCTCTTTCCTCATCTTTCCTTTCCTCTTCCTCTTATTATCCCTCTCCTTTCCAGGAAGAACTTGATGGTTATGTTGATTTTTACTTACAAATGATAGAACTGGTTTCCTTCAAGTGGTATCCCTTAACCTTTAGATAACTGGCTTTGTTTTTTTTATAGGTTCTGGCTGATAGATTGCCGGCAGATTCAGGAATCTGTCACCTTTGCATCACAAGTGTATAGAGAAATTATCTGTGTACCTTACATGGCCAAATTTGTAGTGTTTGCCAAGTCTCACGACCCCATCGAAGCCAGGCTGAGGTGTTTCTGCATGACTGACGACAAGGTGGACAAAACCCTGGAGCAGCAAGAGAACTTCGCCGAGGTGGCCAGGAGCAGGGACGTGGAGGTACTGTCCGAGGGTGTGCATGTGCTGTGTCACTGCGCCATGACCATTAGAGTGTACTTCGACTAGAAGGTCACAAAAGAGCCATAAAAAAGACCCATGCACATCGTGATCATTTGATAAATCAAGAACCAAAATTAGCCTTTTTTCAGCCAATTTGGACTTGTCCTGTAGGGATAATCTTATTATATATGAGGAGGTAATAGGATTTCTTGAAAGATTATTTGGGGAAAAAACCCAGAGCTATTAGTACACTTAAAATTTGTGACTACAGCAGTTGAAGAGTTTTTTAGGTTTTCTAGTTCTTCTTATTTTTTAATTATAAGGAAAACATTCTAGAATGTACTTTTACAGAAATGCTGAAGAGCTCTATTACTTTCCTACATTACTTTTTCTTATTTTCCTTTCCTCCTTCTCGTCTTCCTCTTCTTCCTCCTCCCCCTCCTCATTGTTATTATTTTACTTTTTCTTCTTTTAGAATTTCCCAACAGCATAGGTTTTTAGATACGGAAGTCCAGTAATCTGACCTACTGTGATATCAAAATTTTACATTTAGGAATTAAATATATATTTGTCATTGTGAGTAACCTGATTAAAGGTTAGAAATGAGAGCATTAAATACTACCATGAATTCGAGGATCCGCATTACTTAGAAGGGGGGGTACATGCTTTGCCATGGATAAAATAGAACGGCAGTTGGCAGCATAAAGATAATTGTGCATATGTTTTAAGAATGGAACGTTCCAACTAGTATTACTAGTTCCTGTTTGCATAAGTAATGTTATGTTTGCAGCTATTTTATTGTAGTGTTTTTCTCTGGTTTTATTCAGGTATTAGAAGGAAAACCCATCTATGTTGATTGTTTCGGCAATCTGGTTCCCTTAACTAAGAGTGGCCAACATCATATCTTCAGTTTTTTTGCTTTTAAAGAAAACAGACTTCCTCTCTTTGTTAAGGTAATGTATGCTTATAACTTAGTCCTGCTTTTATTGACAATCCAGGAAGAATTTGACTTCCTCTTGTAGTAGAGAATATTTGCTTTTCAGTTATTTCTAAGGATATTTAAACCACATCTATAAAATTGTATTTCAAAAATGTTTATTTTTGAAGTTTAGAGTCAGTCTTAATTTTTAGTAATAGGCTGTGAGCAAGGAGGAAACAAGGTCAGATTATGCTCAATTCATTCATTGGAAACTCTGGCCACTAATTGGAAAGGAAGTGCATTATTCTATTATTACTTTAAATATTTATGTTTATATTTTTAAAAATATGTGAATTGCACAAGTATGGGGCCCAAAACTTCTCACAATTTTTTGTAATAAAATCTCTCAAATGAGAATAGCACTTTGAGTAAGGATTTCCCCCAGTTAAATCTATAGACATTATGTACTTTCCTAAACTCATCAAAGATTATGGGAGACATATGCATCAATGCACCATGAATTTGGAGCCTCTGTTTGGTAGTATTAACCTAAGTTAAGGACATGGCAGTTACATATACAAGTTTTATTTTAAGATTCATATTCAAAAAAGGACCACAAGAGTGTTAATGCAGCTATTTTCTAGCTACTTGCTTTCTATCCTGTGTTTCACAATTTATTTCACTAATTCAGAGGACCAGACATTCAGCCCTCACAAGTTAAGGCCAGTATCCATCATTTTTTCCCCAGACCTACTTCAAGCTGTGAATTCCCAACTGTTCATCAGCAGTGATTCCTTTATTATTTTAAGCCCTCGTGATTTTTTTCAACCACAGGTCTGTAAACCCCTGTTTTCTTGAGAGCTCTAAAAAATACTTGATTGTGCTATACTTGTGGCTCATTTTTTGCCTAATTATTGATAAAGACTTCTATAAATCACCACATTAAGCGGTAATTGCTGAGGGCTACTGGATCCATTTAACACAGACAGCTGCAAAATGAAGCTAGTATTTGACATTGTTTTTATGCAAAAATCATCATACAAACAACCCAGTACAACAGTGGACAAAGGGTTTAAATAGACATTTCTCCAAAGAAGATATACAAATACCCAATGACTGTACTTGCTTAGGAAAATGCAAGTAAAGCCCACACTGACAAATGACTTCATAACTATTAGAATAGCTATTATTAAAATAAATAAATTGGGACACTTTTGCAAGGCTGATAAAAATATAAAGGAATTCAGCCACTGTGGAAAACCGTATAATATTTCCTCAAAACACTAAATGCAGGCTTAGCGTATAACCCAGCAACTTACTTGTAGGTATACACTCTGAAGAACTGAAAGCAGAGACTTGGCAACAGATACTTCATGTTCTTCTAGCTTGTCCACAACAGCCAATGAGTTGAAACAACCCACATGTCTAGCAGATGAATGGATAAGCAAGTTGTGACTTAAATTTACAGTGAAATATTATCTGACCTTTTAAAAGAATGAAACTCTCACAGGTGCTATAATGTAGATGACTCTTACAGACATACAGTGTCATTGTTACTGTCTTATCTCTGGCACTCACAGCTTACCAGAAGAAGAGCTTTATTTTGATTCACAGTGTGCAGAGGGTTCAGTTCATAGTCGGCTGGCTCCAAAGCAGGGTATCATGGCAGAGCAGCAGTGTAGAGAATAGCTTGTGCATAGCAGCTGGAAAGGGGATGGGGAAAGGAGGGAGAGGGAAAGACATTAAGGAAGGAGAGCAGTGGACCCTTCCAGGCCACGCCCCAGTGACCACCTCCTCCTACCCGGCTTTACCTCCCAGCATCACACCAGCTACAGTAAGTAGCTGCAGACTTATGAGTGGGTAATCCTCTGATTACCAGTCACAGCCCCATGGACTGGTCACCTCCCAAAAACCTGCCTAGGAGGAGGCTGGGGGGGACATCTAGATATGAACCCTAATGTATACTAAATGAAATAAGCCAAACATAAAAGGACAAATACTGTATGGTTCATTTATAGGATACACCTAGGACAGTGAAATTCACAAAGAGAAAATAGAAGAGTGGCTTCCAGGGACAGAAGAAAGAGGGCAAGGAGTTATTACTTACTGCATAGGGAGTTCAGTATGAGAAGATGAACAATTTTGGAATAAAGATGGATCATGGCGAATGTACTTAACGCCACTGAATTGTGTGTCTAAAGATGGTTAAAGTGATACTGTATGTTAATGTTTTACTAAATAAGAAAGCAAAATGAAATTCTGATACTTGTAATATGAATGAAACCTGCAAACATTATACTACATAAAATAAAACAGTAAATATGTGACTCCACATAAGTGAGATAGTAGAATGTAGAGAGGCATGCAGAGAGGAAAGAAAGAGCAGGAGTTATCAGAGGCTGAGACACGGAGTTACCGGTGAAGGGGGACAGTTTCAGTTTGGGACGATTAACAGTGCTGAGTAATGGTGATGACTGCACAATTTTATGAATGTGCTTCCTACTACTAAATTATACACTTAAAATATTTAAAATGATAGATTTTGTGTTATATATACATTTTATAGTTTTTTAAAAGTGGAATCAGTTCTAGAAATGTAATGTGCGATACAGATACTATAGATAAAAATAATGTATATTTGAAATTTACTAAAAGATGTCTTAGAAAAGTGGGCATGCAGTTATGTGAGGTGGTGAGTGTGTTAATTAGCTTGACTGTAGTGATCATTTCACATCATGTGCCTAAATCGATACCATTTCATCAGTCATAGTTCAATAGCAGAATGATTTTTTAAAAAGTCATCCTAAATTATAATAGGAAAAGAGAAAAAGAAAGGCCTTTGAATGTTACTAAGTATTGACAGATAAATTTCATTTTCCCACTTTAAAGATCATCTGATCAACTAACTAGTGCATGTCAAACATGAGTGAAGCGTGAATGTCTCTCTTGTTCAAGGTCCGCGATACAACTCAGGAACCTTGCGGTCGGCTGTCGTTTATGAAGGAGCCAAAATCCACAAGAGGCCTGGTGCATCAGGCTATTTGCAATTTAAACATCACCCTGCCAATTTACACAAAGGTATTGTAGAATCTGCTGTGGAATTGTGAAAGTAGGCAATATAGAAACATTTTTAAAGCATTTGAAGTAAGTGTAAACAAAGACACACTGAATGCAGGCGTGTATAACAAGAATTTTTGGTACCTTGTTAAATTTACAGTTTTCCAATCAAGTCAAGAGAAAAGTAATTCCACTTTATTGTGCATTAAAGGTACTTAATGAAAAAAAACTCTGTTAATATACATTCAGGACATAGAGAAAAATCAGTTTAGATTTGAATACTTTGGATTAATTTTAAAAGTACAATAATTGGCTTTGTTTTCATTAATATTTTGACACGCTATCCTGAGACCATTCTAGTGCTTTTGGCCCTCCCAAGATTTTAGGGTCCACTAGCTTCAGGTCACCACCAGTCCACTGGAGGATCATGTCCTATTAAATATAGAGCAAACTCATGATATTTTATTTTTTTGCTAATTTTTGTTTACCTTATAAGCTACCCTGTTTTAGGAATATTAAATTAATTTTTCAATTTTATAAAACATAATCAGTATTTTTATCTTTTTGAGTCAGGGTCTCACTATGCAGGTCAGGCTGGTCTTGAGCTCACTTTGTAGCCCAAGCTGGTCTCAAACTTGCAGTGATTCTCCTGCCTCGGCCTCCCAAGTGCTGGGATTACAGGCATGTGCTACCATGCTCAGCTAAAATTCTCATTTTTATAAATAATGGATTTGAAACATTGTTGAAAGAAAAAAATGTATTAATTCCTGACCTATCTATAAACATTACTTCTTTTCAAACTTTTCTCCACTTACATAGTTCCTCATGTATACTGATAACATCAAAGAAGACCACTGAATTATTAACTTCCTTCTTATTATTTTAATATTTTTTCCTCTGACCGATGTCTTTTTTTACTGGAAGCCACAGAGAGCACTCGGTTGGTGGCTCCAGAGGTTACTGGTGTGTATCCTGCATAATGGGAAAGGAGATGAGTGTGTTTGCCAGTATCTGGAGAAGTAGGTTATATGGGAAACCCAGAGGATAAATAAAGGGGAAAAAAAAGATGCATAATAAGAAGTAGGATGATAAATCATTCCACAAAACAAAGAATTTTATAGACCATTTGTACCCCACCATGCTTGTCAAATTTTGTATTGTGCTTAATTATTCCTATATAGAATACAGTGCATAGCATCGTGTAAGACACTGCCAGTACCTATTAAATGGTTAAAAGGGAAATGAAATGTCCACATATGCTATTTCAGAAATTCAATACAGCAATAGCTAAATCAGTCCAAATGGGCATGGTCGAACTGGACTCCAGCACTAGCAAATGCGCCCTGAGCTCTGTAGACTGATTTCTGGTGATTCCCCAGGCAGAGCAGCAGACAGAAGAACAGTATCTGTAGATCATTGTATCTGATGCAAAGATGAATGTGTTTTGACTGGCGGCAGTTGGCTATAAACGAAAGCATTTACTTTATTTTACATTTGCTTTCTAAATCCAGACATACCAGACACAGTGCTGTGATGGTCAGGACAGCTTTCTATTTAGTCATTAAAACCAAAAGAAGAAAATGTCAAACATGCCAATTTAAGATACTTTAGAATTTAGTAGCTCTTTATTATAATGAAACCCTTACATATTGCCAATATATTGAAAATGTTTTTTCCACATGTTTCCTTGTAGCTTTCAATCTTGTCAACTAATGTCCATAATGACTGGGATATCACATCAATATTTCTGTAGACAAATGCAACTGGATCCATTCAATGTCAAACTTTGAGGCTGCTGGTGACATAGTATATGAAATTAATATATTTATAATGTTGCTTCTTTCTGTCCCTTGAATCTGTAGACTTTACTCAGTGTTCTTTAATCTTTCTGCCTGCCTTCTGTAAACTGTTAGTAAGAAAAAAAATAAGAACATGCTGATTGTGTGACAGCTAATGTTTGTCACGGGGTATTTTTGCTCTTTTCTTCTAAATACTCTCTATTCTTCCATCTCTCTTTTTTTCCCCATCTTGCATGGCATCTTGGGGCATCCAGGAATCAGAGTCAGATCAAGAGCAAGAAGAAGAGGTAATTCTGTGACAGTGTCACTTGTTTGTGGCTGTGTTGTTGGTGTAACTACTCATAAGAGAACATAGTAAGTCTGTTCTTAGGGGGCAGACTGTTGTTCTGAGTACTTCAAGGAGTGGAACTGTACTTAGTGCTTTGAGGCTCTGTTTTCTCATCTTGTAAAATCATCTCAGAGAATAGGAAAGTTTCTCCACAAATTTTAGCCCTTTATGTCACAATACACATCTTCTGCCACTTGTTAAAGGCTAAACTAGCTGTTTTCAAAGGTCAGGCTAAGGACACCTGAAGTTTTATAATACTTAGACATTGCCTTTTTTGCTCTCCTATTCTGTCAAGCTCCAGAGGACTTTGCTAGAGGGTTTGTAATCTGTGCCGACATTGCTGATCATCAGTGCAGTGTGTGCTTATGAAGCCTTGAGTGCTAGCATTGCTCAGCTTTAATTTGTAATATGGATACACACTTTACCCATATCACACATAAACAAATATTCCTTGGGCTTTCCAGTAAGTTTTAGGTAAATAAAGTGGTGCTAAGCTCAAACAGTTTGAGAATCACCGAGACAAAAGGTTTTTAGGAGCATACTGTGCATCCCATAGATTAGGATAATGATAATGGGACACTGCAGCCATCCTGAGCATTTCCTGTAAGCTGTGGTCCTAGGAAGAGGCCCACGGGCTGCATCAGCACAGATCTGTCACCCACCATACAGGTGCATGTGGCTTCCCACAGTCGAGAACACAGGTTTTAGAGAGGTTTCCTTGAGTCAGTAGCCATCTGAATTGTTTCAGTATTTGAAACAGAAATGTGATCTTCTTCCTTAAAAAGTTCTACAAGTGTCTAAATATTACAACAGAAATGAAATGACCCAGTAGGAAACATACCATATTTGCTTATGCATCTGTTTCCTTTTATTTCAAAAACTACTGAGAATTTGAAACACATGTATATATTTTGAACTTACTGGTTTCTATAATATTATTTTGACATATTTAAAAACAAAATGATAATAAGATCTCGTACCCACAATTTAAAAGGCCCGAGTTGGGAGACCCCTCTGTAAAACGCTCTCATTTCTGTCTGCCGTGCAGCCGTGGAACAGGAGGAGGGGTGATGAGAGGCACCCTGTGCGGCTGTGTGTAGTTGCACACTGCACTGCTGATATTGAGGCTGGTGTCGCCTCTCCTGGCGCGGCAGTTACACGTGCACAGTCCCCTCCTGTGCTGTGCTGCCCCTCAGCACAGCTGTTCAACAATGAGGCCTCTGCCACCTTCTGGAAAGGCTTGTAATACATTCACAAATGAGTTTTCTCTTCAGCGCTTCACTGCTGAATAGCAGAACTGTTCAGGGCAATAGATGCTAACCAATATCCTCTTTAGGATTCGGGGTGCTGGTTTGTTATTAATGGTAATGAAATTAATTTTGTAGAATGCATTCCCCTGCATGTTGTTTGTTATTCTCTTCTCTGATACATTGACACTCATTAATACTGACTTCACCCTTTTTCTGACTTTTTCCCTAATAATTATGTGTTTCTCAGGTCAAATACAAACTGTATCCTATCCCCCAGCAATAACATATTAAAAAGAATTTTCCACTTGTGATATCTAGAAAAGAGATTTTTTTCCCCCCAAAGTCAGGATGAGAATCGCTGAGACTCCCAGGGTGGGGAAGAACTGTAGCTAATTACTGTGACCTTTCTCTAGTGAGCGGTACCGCCCCGTGTGTGTTATTATGAATAGGAACTTGTTGTGCACAGCTGGGTCCATGAGCTTAGACACTATTTGTAACCATTGGATTTATGTATGTTTTCTTTCAGATCGATATGACATCAGAAAAAAGTAAGATTTTAAATGAAATTGAGTTTGTTTGAAAGCTGGCTATAAGAAAAGAAGCATGACTTAAGATGCAAGCTAGTTGCCACTATTAACCATCATAATATTTTTATATTGTCCTTATTAATCATTAATATATATTTATAAAAGCAGCTTGGCCAGTTAAATTACAAGTATACTTAATTTGTGAGCTAATTAGCTGTAAAACGCAATGATTATTCATCTAAGCATTCACTTTCTTTTGACATCCCTGTTAACCCTGGTATTGCCGTTGCGCTTGTTTAGAAAGCCGCCCTACCGTTTTGTCCAACTGTTAGCATAACATTGTCATCTCATTATTTTTTAAGCACTTACTTGACAGTATCACTTTTTATATAAAGCAATAGTGACATCTGTAGAGATCTCTTTTTTTTCTTTTTCTTTTTGAAGGATTTGCCTGCAAAAGTGATACTGTCTTTGACAGTTCTTAGCCAAAGCTGACTCCCCTCACCTGTCCCTTGCACTTCTTTCTTACTGCGGTGAAGCATAACCAAAGTCTTTGGGCTGAAATCTAATAGCCTTCTGTGAGAACGTTCTGAAAAGAGAAAAAAACCTAGGAGCCAAGAAATGCAAAATTTAAATCCTCCTGGATGAAGTTACTGATTTTAAATAATGAGGCAAAAATCTCAAACCTGATGAAAAACAGAGAGAATTGGTTTTTACAGACCTATCTTGAAAGACCTATCTTAGAATTATTTTCAGGTTTGTAATATTTGATTAACGTTCATTGGCCTATTTCTATTGTCTCTGGATTCTTGTACAGAAACTCAGGTTGAACTTTAAAAACTTTCTGCCTCTTATGCCCCAAGGGGTTTAGAAGAAGAAATTTTAATTTTTAGTGTTATGGGATGTACAGTATTTTGGGCTGATATTCCCAAAAGAAGAAAATTCAGGGCCATGTTTAATATGGCTGTTTGGCCCTGTATAATGATCTGTAGGCTTTAAAAAAAAATCTCAATACAGTGTGATCATCTGCTACATTATTGGAATGATTTTAACTGAAGCTTACCCTCATGGGAAATCATTATTCAGAACTAAGGTCTATGAGAGGCTGAGCAAATGTTCACTGGCTTATATACCTGAACAAATCTATATTAATATTAATTCTAAATTATTTTAATATATTTCATAAATGCATAGTATTATAATAAGCAAATTCAAGTTTTGTTGAGAGAAAGCTCTTTTAATGACGTATCATAGCCTTTCTTGGTTCCTCTTTTTAAAAATGATTTTATCTTTTTTTCTTCATCTTTAGGACTGGCTTCTTAAGTGGCCCCTTGCTTGTTCCTATCATGTGGGCTAATAGGAAATAAAAATTTATTTGTATTCCTGACTCAGTTTTTGAAAAAAAAAAAGCAAAAAATGTTGCTACAATGCCAGGGGCTTTCCCGAATCGCTCCTAGACGTTGTGAATATTTTATACATTTCAAATCCAGACTCATGTTTGGCTTTATTTTCAAGAGGATCATTAATGTTTATGTTTATAATAAATAATCTCCAAAGAAGCCTCTGTAAAGGCATTCTTTCCTACACATTTTTTGAGTAAATCTTAAAGGTCTGGCTGAGTTTTCCTCTGACCAAATATGGTTGCAGGTTCCTACAACCTGTGCCTCCAATACACTGCAGAGATGCACAGGGAAGTAAACACGCTTCACCACAGTAATGTTTTGCATATTCGTTCTAATTTCTCACCGCCCTCCTGCCCACGCTTTTCCGCAAGGCTACCTCTCCCAACAGTTTTACTCCACCTTTGCTTTGCATGGAAATAACTTGGCTTACATAAACTGTGCGTGTGTCCGTGTGACTGTCTCAGACTTGGATTGCCATGCCTCACATTTAACTCTAGGTTCACATACGTGTTTGATCACGAGTTTTGTTTCTGTTGTGTTCCTTTCCTTTCCTCTCTTTCCCTCCTTGATCCATCTGTTCCATGTCCAAACAAGGAGGTTGCTCCAGGGAAAGGACCTTGCCTGTCCATAGCACAAGATTGTATGTCCCATCGTTAGGTGTGATTTCCCTTGGATGAAATGCCAGTTTGCAGTTGATTTAGATACGTTTTCCAGCATCATTGCATGTCAGCAGAACAAAACGTGCTCAATTCCAGATTTATGTGTTTAAAAATGCGTGTACATTGTTCAACATTATTCTGAGTTTGCTATTACTGGCTTTCTCCCAGAGGAAATCAACTTTCTGCGATCTCTAGTGCTTTTTCCTTATTTTTTCCCCATAGTTTTTTGGTTTTTTTCCACCATCGATCTGTAACATCTGAACAATCTTGAGATATTGTATGTAATTTCACTGCGTACTTCTCTGTTGTGATTTGTGATGGTTTTTCATGTGTGTCTTGATTATTTGTGATAGCTTTGTTGTATGTGTGGATGTGCTACAAGTGAGAAAAATTAAGCAAGTTATTTCCTGCTCATTTTCCTTTTCAGTTTTTTTGTTCGCCTTGCTTTGCTCTTGTGCCCCGAGGCCTTGTGGATCCACCATCCCCAGCCCATTCTGTTGCCCCTCCCACCACGGCAGGAAAAGACGCTGTGTCCTTGCAGTCCTGATTACATTTGCCAATATCTTTTTTGATTTCCATTTTACTTTCAATGTTTTTCATTCATATCAAAGATGATGAGACAGAATCTACAGAAACATCTGTCCTGAAAAGTCACCTGGTTAATGAAGTTCCTGTCCTGGCAAGTCCGGACTTGCTCTCTGAAGTTTCTGAGATGAAACAAGACCTGATCAAGGTGACTGCCATCTTGACCACGGCTGTGTCTGAGCAGGCAGCCTCTCTGAAAGCGAAGGAGCTGGCGAAGGCTGCAGAGGAGGAGCCGGGCGAGCCCTTTGAGATCGTGGAGAGAGTTAAAGAGGAGTTAGAGAAAGTGAACGAGATCCTGAGAAGTGGAACGTGCTCCAGGGAGGAAGGTGGCCCGCTGCGCCCTCAGGAGGAGAGGGAGATGGAAGAGGAGGAGTGGGTGCTTGTGAGTGAGGAGGAAATAGAGGAAGCAAAGCGGAAAGCACCTTTAGAAGTCTCTGAGTACCCCTGTGTGGAAGTTAGATTAGAGAAAGGGAGCAGGGTCAAAGCAGAGAAGGACCCCACTGGACTTGTGAACTTCCTGGCTGAGGACCTCGGTGCCTGCGTGTCTCCTCATGAGGAGAAGGCCAGTGAGGCTGCGGGCGAGGAGGGGAAGCTTGGTGCCCAGAAGCAGCACAGGCCAGGGCTGGGGATAAAGAAGCCAGTGAGGAGAAAGCTAAAAGAAAAGCAGAAACAGAAAGAGGACGGCTTACCAGGGAGTGAGGCCAAAGCAGAACTTAAACAAGGTAGTTCTGAAGAGTCCCTGGAAGAAGACCCGGGTCTGGCCCCTGCTCCCCTCCCCACTGCAAAGGCCACGTCTCCTCTCATAGAAGAGACGCCCATTGGCTCCATAAAGGACAAAGTGAAGGCCCTTCAGAAGCGAGTGGAAGATGAGCAGAAAGGCCGAAGCAAGCTGCCCATCAGGGTCAAAGGCAAAGAGGAGGTGCCCAAAAAGGCCACTCCCAGGACGCATCCAGTGGTGTCACCTTCCCTGAAGTCGGACAGGCACACCGCAGTGTCACCATCCCCCAAAACAGAGAGACACTCATCCCTGTCCTCTGCAAAGCCAGAAAGGCATGCTCCAGTGTCACCGTCAAGTAAAGAGAGACACTCACCTGTGTCCCCCTCAGCGAAAGCCGAAAGACATTCACCTGTGTTGGCAGCAGGTAAACCTGAGCGACATTCACCCCTGTCACCCTCAACCAAAGCTGAAAGACACTCCCCTGTGTCCTCTACGAAGTCAGAAAGACACCTGCCTGTCTCGCCTTCGGGCAAAACTGACAAACGGCCACCTGTGTCACCCTCTGGGAAAACTGAGAAACATCCTCTAGTGTCACCTGGGAGGACAGAAAAGCGCTCACCTGTTTCACCGTCTGGAAGAACAGAGAAGCATCCACCCTCTGGAAAAAATGACAAGCACCTGCCTGTGTCACCCTCTGGGAGAACAGAGAAGCAACCACCTGTGTCCCCTACTTCCAAAACAGAGAGAATTGAGGAAACTATGTCTGTCCGGGAGTTGATGAAAGCTTTCCAATCAGGTCAGGACCCATCAAAACATAAAACTGGACTCTTTGAGCACAAAGCAGTAAAACAAAAGCAGACACAAGAAAAAGGTAAAGCTCGGGTAGAAAAAGAAAAGGGGCAGATAGCGAGCCAGAGAGAAGTGCAGAGAACGGAGAGTCAGACCATCAAACGAGGCCAGAGATTCATAGTGACAGGGCTTTCAGAATCCAGAAGAAGTGTCCGAGCCTCCTCCATAGGACTTCGGAGAGAAGAGACAGTTGGAGAAAAGGAGAAGACCCCCAGTCACAAAACCCCAGAGCCTGCTCGGCCAGTACATGAGGAAGAAAGCCATGGAGAGAGTGAGATCCCCAAGGAAAAGGTGACTGACGAACAGGGAGACTTGGACCTGCAGATCAGCCCGGACAGGAAAACCTCCACGGACTTTTCTGATGTCATTAAGCAAGAGTTGGAAGACAATGACAAATACCAGCAGTTCTGCCTGAGCGAAGAAACTGAGAAGGCACAAGTTCACCTAGACCAAGTCCTCACCAGCCCTTTCAACACAGCCTTCCCTCTGGATTACATGAAGGATGAGTTCCTCCCCACACTTCCTCTACAGAGCGATGCTCTGGCCGGCAGTTCTGAGAGCCTGAAACAGGAGGGGATGGCAGGTTCGCCATGTGGAAGCCTGATGGAGGGGACCCCACAGATCAGCTCAGAAGAAAGCTACAAGCATGAGGGTCTGGCAGAGACCCCTGAGACCAGCCAGGAAAGCCTTTCTTTCTCACCAAAGAAAAGTGAGGACCAAATTGGGGAAGTAAAGGAAACCACCAAGTTAGAAACACCACCAGAAATTCATTCAGAAAAAGAATATCCCACAACCAAAGACACCATCAATGGTTCTGACGCTCAAGGTGCTACAGTCCCTGAGGGCTCAGAGCCCTCTGTTGAGGCCACCCCAGACCCTCCCAGAGACATATGCCCCAAGCAAATAGAGGACATCTCTGTCAGCCCCAGTGTGCCACTAGCAGAAGAACCCCCTAGGACACAGGCTGAGGAAGTGTCCTCTGACAGAGGTTCAGCTCACAGGACACAGGCTGACAGTAAAACTCAGGAATCCACGGCCACCTCAGATGAGGCAAAGTCCCCAGGCCCATCTGCTGCTTCTGTAAAGCCAGACCCCGACACTGAATCCAGGCCCCCAGGAACCGTTAGAAGTCCCCAAGGGTTAGAGCTTGCACTCCCTAGCCGAGATAGTGAAGTCCTCAGCCCCATGGCTGATGAGTCATTAGCAGTGAGCCACAAAGACTCTCTGGAAGCCAGCCCTGTGCTGGAGGATAACTCCTCACACAAAACTCCCGACTCCCTGGAGCCAAGTCCCCTGAAAGAGTCTCCTTGCCGGGACTCTCTCGAAAGCAGCCCTGTTGAACCAAAGATGAAGGCAGGGATTCTCCCAAGTCACTTCCCTCTTCCTACTGCTGTCACCAAAACAGAACTCATTACGGAAGTGGCCTCCATGCGGTCCCGGCTCCTCCGAGATCCCGATGGCAGCGCTGAGGATGATAGCCTGGAGCAGACGTCATTGATGGAGAGTTCAGGGAAGAGCCCCCTGTCCCCCGATACCCCCAGTTCTGAAGAAGTCAGCTATGAGGTCACACCCAAAGCTACAGATGCATGTACCCCCAAACCAGCTGTGATTCATGAATGCTCCGAGGAGGATGACTCTGAAAATGGGGAGAAAAAGAGGTTCACACCAGAAGAGGAAATGTTCAAAATGGTAACTAAAATTAAAACGTTTGATGAACTTGAACAAGAAGCAAAGCAGAAAAGGGACTATAAGAAAGAGCCCAAGCAGGAGGAGTCTTCTTCATCCTCTGAGCCAGACGCTGACTACACAGTGGGTGTGGGTGAACCGGAGCAGGTGGAGAGTGTGGAGGGTGAAAGCGATGTCCCTGTGGTGGTGACTTCTGAGAGCCGAAAGGCTTCTTCCTCCTCAGAAAGTGAACCCGAATTGACTCAGCTAAAGAAAGGTGCTGACTCGGGCCTTTTACCAGAACCAGTTATCCGAGTGCAGCCTCCTTCCCCACTTCCATCCAGCATAGACTCCAGTTCTAGCCCCGAAGAAGCACTCTTTCAGCCCATCGTTTCTAAACAGTATACTTTCAAGATGAGTGAAGATACTCAGGAAGAGCCAGGTAATTCAGCAGAAGGAGAAGCCCGGGAGTCCTATTCTGTGGAAGACGGTCACCCTCTTTCCCCTGCAGAAGCAGATAGGTCTTACCATGATCTGAACAAAGACACTACTCAACAGAAATTCTGTGATGGCCATGGGTGTGAGGCTATGGGTCCTAGCAGCCTGGCCACTCCTACCACTTCAGGTCTTCAGAAGTCTGCTGGTGATGATGTCGATGAGCAGCTCATCAGCTATAAGGAATCATCAGCTTTGCAAGATGTGCGTGAAAGTGACACAGAAGGAGAAGAGCAGGGTGTTTCTGGAGTGGAATCCCCACAAGTAGATTGCCTCAGTGGAAGCCCTTCTTTGTCCTCTTTCCCACATTGTCCAGTATTTGAAGAAAAGGAATTAGATGACAGAATGTCTTCTGTATCTCCCACTACAGAAATGGAGGAAACCAACAGTGATCCAACTTTGGAGAGCTTACGGAAGGACTGTGCCACTCAAGACTCATATATTCCAACTCAAACAGATAGGTTGTCCATGGACATTCCAGAATCAGACCTAGTGGAAACTGATGAAATCTCTGAGCCTCATATCACAAGCCCTTATGAAAACGTTCCTTCTCAACCATTTTTCTCTAGTGAAGAAAGCAAAACCCAAATAGATGCCAGTCATGTCTCAAGTTTCCAGTCTTCTGAAGTGCATTCTGTTACCATTACATCCTCCGTAGCAGAGGCGGTAGTGACAAGCTCCTGTAGTAGAACTGTTTCAAGCAAAGAATCCAATTCTGAGAGTGAGCACCTTCAAACAGAATCCAAACCAGAAAGTGCAGTGTGGGAAATGCAATCAGAGAGCTCCTCCTCCTCTCCCCAGCCTACTATAGCAAACACACCAGCCGTCATTGGGGAACAAATAAACAAAGTCATCATCACAAAAACAGATGTGGATTCAGATTCCTGGAGTGAAATTCGTGAAGATGATGAAGCCTTTGAGGCTCGAGTGAAAGAGGAAGAACAGAAGATATTTGGCTTGATGGTAGACAGACAATCACAAGGCACTACCCCGGACACCACTCCTGCTAGGACCCCAACAGAAGAGGGCACCCCAACTAGTGAGCAAAATCCATTTCTCTTCCAGGAAGGAAAACTGTTCGAGATGACGCGAAGTGGTGCGATTGATATGACCAAAAGGTCCTATGCAGATGAAAGCTTCCACTTTTTCCAAGTTGGTCAAGAATCTAGGGAAGAGACTTTCTCTGAGGACATGAAAGAAGGGACCACAGGGGCAGAGCCACAGCTGGAGACAACGGCTGAGTCACTCACACTTTCAGAATCAAAAGAAATGGTAGGTGATGAAGCAGAGTTACTTCCAGATGACCTAAGTGAGGACGCAGAGGAAATGCTCACTTCAGACGCTCACCTTGATGCCCAAATGGAGATTTCGGCTGCCCCTGAAATGTCCGCACAGGAGGCTGCTGCTCCAGGGGTTGAGGACCTCCCTATGCAAATGGCTTGTATACCTCCATCCAGGAGGAAGCAGGTATCTTGCCCTGATGCCCCTGAACCAGTTGTCCCAGTTCAGTTAGACTTTTCCACAGTCACCAGGTCTGTATATTCAGAGCGGGATGAGGAGTCTCCTGATTCTTCTCCCGAGGAAGAGAAGTCAGTGATTGAAATCCCCACTGCACCCATGGAGAATGTGCCTTCTATCGACAGTGAATCCAAAATCCTTGTAAGGACTATCCCCACTTCATCTGTAGCCCATCCATCCGTAGAGGATGAGTGTGCATTTTCTGAAGATTTTCCATCCAGTCTGGATGAAGAAAGTAAGGAAGAGGATGCAAAACCAAAGTCAAAAATCCCCATCAAAGCACCCACCCAAAGAGTCGAAGAGCAGCCCTCATTTCTAGACTCATCTCTCCATAAGGCAGAGGCACCTCAGGGACAGGATGTGACAGGCAGAGCTGCAGACCATAGAAGCAAATCCGAATCTGATGCTAGTCCTTCGGACTCCAAGGCCAAATGCCCAGGGAAAGCCAGAAGTTACATTGAGACAGAGGCAGAGAGCAGAGAGAGGGCAGAGGAGTCTGAGTCAGAATCAGAGGAAGGGGCCACAAGGCCAAAGATGTTTGCATCCCGACTGCCAGTTAAGAGCAGAAGCACCACATCTTCTGCCAAGGGGGTCACAAGCCCCACAAAAGACAGGAAGGAGCATTTCTTTGACCTTTACAGAAACTCCATTGAATTCTTTGAGGAAATTAGTGATGAGGCCTCTAAGCTAGTGGATAGACTGACACAGTCGGAGAGGGAGCAGGAATTAGCTTCAGATGATGAAAGCAGTAGTGCCCTGGAAGTTTCAGTTATTGAAAACCTGCCACCTGTTGAGACTGAGCACTCAGTTCCTGAGGACATCTTTGACACAAGGCCCATTTGGGATGAGTCCATTGAGACTCTGATTGAACGCATCCCTGATGAAAATGGCCATGACCGTGCTGAAGGTATTTGCCAGCCACTGGGGCTCCCTGTGCTCCGCATGTCATAAATTTGATACAGTTTTTTTTTGTACGTCCTTCTTTGTTTTGGTTTTTTTGGTGATTTGTGTCTCATTTCCTTTAAGCTTTCTGTAGTGGTTAATGTGTTTGTGTAAGCCCTTTGTGTTTTGTGCTTTCTGTGTATACTCTGTCTATGAAAACAATCTCAAGATTGAGTAATGAGAATGCTTATGGAAACATAACATACCCAGGCAATGATGACCTTGCCTTTCTCTAGCTGCTGCACGTAAGGCCCTGCAAGCTTTGAGTTTTGTTGTTTTGAAGTCCTAGGCTGAGTCTCAAATTAAGCCTTTGGCTTTATTGTTATGGGATTTTGTTTCCTATTATGAGAACTCGTTGCTTTTTCTTATCTTTGCACACTTGGAAATAATTGTACTTAACAATTTTGTAATTATTAGGAAGCCATTTGCTCAAGATTTCTCATATCCTGAAATTCCAATTGTTGTGGCTCTGTTTTTCATTCAGAAAGTTTGGATTTCAGATTCCATTGGTAAACACTTTAAGCAAACAAACATAAGGTAAAAATACGCTTTTTGTTTACATGGTAGCTGCATTATGAATGTGCTGTGATTAGACACAGCAGACAACAAAAACTCAAACTTTGCACAACTTAAGTTGACCATGAGGGAATGATGGCTCTTTACATTGTAAAGAAGAAAACCATAGATGGCTGTGAGACATAGCCTCCAGGCTTCCAATATCTCTGCAATGAAGACTATTAGTCTTAAATTTGGGTTACAAATAACTTTATGATTCCATGCTCTAAAATGCTCATCAATCCATGACTTAAAAATGAATGGAAAAATTATAGTTTTGTGAGAGAACTACACCATTTAATAATAAATAGGAGACTCTTTGCCCAAGAGACATACAGTATATGCATACCCATAACAACATACATGTACAAACGTGTGCTCTGTTTCTTCTTCCAAGGTCATCAGGAGCAAGGCATATACTATTTCTGGACACATTAGAATAAATTTAGGATGGTCTCTTCACCAGTGATCAAGATCTCTTGTGAATTTCTGATAAGATTTTTTTTCTGGCATGACCTAGAAATGATCTGTACCTGCACAGGCAGGAATAGGACAATTACTAGCCAATTACTCCACTTCTTCGTACCATTTATGGTTACTGTAGTATTTAATGAGCAAGATGAGTTTCTTCTGGTGGGCGGTATCCTCTCAGATCATTTTAAATCCTAAGATGACTAGAAGTCTGTGATTTATATAATTGTGATCACTAAGTAGTCTTGATTAGAGAGATATGGAAGGAGATGGTTTTCACGAGTCATACTAGATTATTATTCATTCTATCCCAGAACTCAGGCAAACACACAATTTAATATTATCTAATCTATAATAGCTAATATGTGCTCCTATCAAATATTTGGACTAGTGACTCAGATCTTTGAATGATCAGTACTGTGGTTCCTCCCATCAGAGACAACCTTTGGCCATTCTGTTTTTGACCTTCTGTAGATCCACAGGATGAGCAGGAGCGGATCGAGGAGAGGCTGGCTTATGCCGCTGATCACCTGGGCTTCAGCTGGACAGGTGAGATGAGTGCAAACCAGTTGTTCAACAGGATCTACTTGGCTTAAATGATACAGATGCATCAGCCGTGGGTCGTTAGCAATGAAAAAGGTTTTCCTGCTCCTTCTGTTTGAGGAAGACTACATGGAATAGTAAAAGAATGACAAATTATAAACTAGAAAGCACAGGCTCTGCTTTACTGATGGAGCCCAGGGAAACTCAGAGTATAAGAGAGAGAAACTGTCATCATCTCCGAAGTTTAGGGTGACTTAAATTAGAAGTGGTTAAGAATATACCACCCGGGGCTGGGGATTTAGCTCAGCGGAATAAGCGCCTGCCTTGCAGGCAGGCAGTCGTGAGCTCGACCCCCCGGTACCGATAAAAAAACGAAAAAGACAAAAAAAAAAAAAAAGAATATACCACTCTTCATCATGCCTCTTTGGCAGCTGTTGATATCTAAGCGTGGGGGACATTATTGTGTTACAACCATCGTTAGACATGATTTTCATAATGTGTAAATTGAGGTTTCTCCAGGGCTGCTTTTTAAAAATTCTTTAAATCAGATTTCTTCATAAAATTTATTTTGGGTGACTATTGAATATCAAAGATGTTTCACTAACTTTTTGAAAATTGAGACTTTTAAGGACAGAAAGTATATGTTAAATAATTTACAAAGAGAAAGTAAATTATAAAATCAATATGGTTTATTTACAAATTATGACTTGTAGATTTAAAAACCTATATCTTTTCATCTGCTTGTAATTACCATATTACAGCAAGAATGAAGTATAGCCTGCTTTATTTTGTTCTTCTTATTTCTTTCTTTTCTTCATTATAAGTCTGGAACCTGGTTTCTTTTTATATCACTTGTGACTACTATATTGAGACAGTATAAAGTTAATATTCTTACAATTTCTTAAAAATTTGAACAGTAATACATGTTACCTTTAAAGATAACTGATATGTTAAAAATATGCCTGGAAAGAGAAGCAGAATCATTTTTCTGCATAATAATTCTAAAGCAATTTTGAAATGGTGGTCAGATTTATTTTGAGGATTAACAGGAAGATATGTTATTAAAATATACCTTGTTATATTGTTCAAACTCTGTAACAATACAGAATAATATAAAGTAAAAAGAATCTCTCATCTATTTCTGGTTTTCTAGTCTCATGCTTCAAAGCTATTTTCTCAATTATTTGGAAAAATATACAATGCCCACATATACATGCCTACTATTTAAAAGTAAGCAAAATGTGCTTACTAATATTCCTTATAAGTGTCCTATCAGCACAGACATATCAATTGTATTCTTTTAAATAGTTATTTAATTCTACTTTGAAAGTTCCTAAATTTTACAGAAGTCTTCATAAGCAGATTTTAGACTATTTTCTGTTAATGGCAATGAAATATCTTTGTGCTTTGTTATACATTTATGAATACACCTATAGGATATATTCTTAGAAGCAGAACTGTTAGGCCCAAATATTTTTAATTTTAAAAGATATTGTCAACCCAGATATGGTGGCACATACTGTAATCCCAGCACTCAGAGGTTGAGGCAGGAAGACTGCCTCAGTTTGATGCCATTGGGAGCTAGTGTCTTAGTTACTTTTCTCTCACTGCTGAGACAAAACACCTGGCACCCAGAGTTAAAGGGGGAAGGTTTAGCTCTCAGTTTATAGAGGTTTTAGTCCATAATTGGCTAGCTCCCAGCAGAGTGGCTTGGCAGAGGGGCATCACAGAGGAGAAACAGTTCATGGTGGCAGAAGACAGCAAAATCAACAATCGAACCTTAGCAGCATCTTTCTGCCCTGTTTATACCCCAGATTGCTGGGAGTTAGGGTGGTGCCAAACCAGTCAGTGAACTGATTGCACCTTTAGTCCCAGCATCACCCTCTTTAGATTCAGCTGCCTCTGAAAAGTCCTTCTTCCACCCGTGACTACATAAGGCTTTGGGTGACATCTAGACACAAATCGTAACAGCTACACAGTGAGTTCAAGGCCAGTCTGCACTACAAAGTGAGACCCTATCTTAAAAAACAAACAAAAAGGTATTGTCAAATTGACAGTACAAGTTAACTCTTTTATACACATATGCACACACACACACACACACACACACACACACAGAGTAATGTACAAGTATCCACATAGAATGTTAATGGTAGAATTTAAAAGAAAATGTGACTTCTTCCCTGGGTCAACTAATGGTTCCCACATGTCTTATTCATGTGACATCAAATTGAAGAAATGAGTTTTTCCTGCCTCCAGAATACCTACAATCAGTATTTATCCAAGTACCCAGAAACCGAGTTTATAGTATTTAAAATATCACCCATGGTGATCAAAAAAGGGAGGTAGTATATGTGTTGTCATTTATTTTCCACTGTCTTGATAAGAGTTTAAGCAAGTACTTACAGTATTTTGGAATCAGGTGGACCTAAATTATACCTATTTTACCAACACAGCTTTATATTGGCTATTTCTACCATGGCAGTAATCAATCCTAGACCTAATATAGGTGAAAGATCCATGCTCAGCACTAGAAGAATAAAGGCGTCTGTGAGTGACTTCTGCTGTGTGTAAATAAAAGACCTCCATAAACACAGCAGTGCAAGGACACTTCACTTGTGAAATCACAGACAAGGTGTGAGGATGCAAATCTTTGGAGGCAAAGTGTCTACATAGCAGTATTTTCTCTTTCAGAGTTAGCTAGAGAACTGGACTTCACTGAGGAGCAAATTCATCAGATTCGAATTGAGAACCCCAACTCCCTTCAGGACCAGAGTCACGCGCTGCTGAAGTACTGGCTGGAGAGGGATGGGCAACACGCTACAGGTAGGTGTGGGGCTCTGGGCAGGTGTCAAGCTAAAGGGAGAAAGTGTTGTCCACCCCATTCTTGCAAACTCGGTGAGACAGTAAACTGAAAGATGCCATCACTTGGAAGCACCCCACTGTGGAGCGGGAACAAGCTGCTGTGGTTTCTAGAATAAGACTGTGTGTGAGGTCCTGTACTGTCTGCCTGTGGGCAGTGGTGACCCCGGGGAGCCAGCACTGGTTATGGGCACAAATGTTATGCAAGTCTGGAAGTGATTTACATATTGATTCCTGGGCAGAAGTACCTTATGTTTTTTCCTCTCTTTTGCATTATCAGGAGGTGAATACTGAGCTGAATCCCAGCCCTTTTTATTTTGAAGCAGGATTTTGCTAACTTGTTAGGCTGGGCTCAAATTTGTGATCCTCCTGCCCCAGCCAACTGGGATTTCAAGCATGTACTACATGGCCGGTTCTATCATTGTTTCATTGGTTGTATCTTACCCTTGGTTCCTGTTTTATTTAGTCCTACCTTAAGTGGCAGGAAAACACCAAGTAGATTTTCAATGTGTGTGATATTCTGGCCGTATGGAATATAACAGGAATCGAGATGACCACAGCTGTGGCTTGACCTCAGCAGGTCTAAATTCCCCACCTCAAAGAGCCGCTTTGAGACCTCATATTTATCACTCCTTGTCTCTATGTTGTATTTAGTAACAGAGTCACATTTAGCAAATAAAAGCAGATGGGCACATAGTTAAATTTAAATTCCAGATAATCCACCTATACTTTGTTAGCATACATATGTCCCATGCAATATTTGGGATATACTTATAGAAAATATTGGTTTTTTGGTCTGAAACTGAGATTTGACTGAATGCCCTGAATGTCATCTGACACCTCTGCTTTTAGGTTTTGTGCCACTTGGTACCATCCTTTTATGCTTCTCTCTGTAGTTTTGACTTTTTTTTTTAATAAACACTCTTAGTAAGGCTTTGGCCGCTTCCTACACAGTTGTCACAAATGTAGTTCAGTAGCTGAGTGAAAGGTTTTGCAAAATGGCATTGCTTAGCCAGCCAGTGCTCTGTCTCTCGTGCCTCAGATGCCAGCCTCATTGAATGTCTCACCAAGATCAACCGAATGGACATTGTCCACCTCATGGGGACCAGCGCAGAGCCGCTCCAGGGGCTCATCAGCCACAGCTACGCAGAAATCGAGCAAACCATCACGCTGGACCATAGTGAAGGTCGAACCCTGTGTGTGTGTGTGTGTGTGTGTGTGTGTGGTGTGAGTGTGTGTGCGCACACACGTGTGTGCGTGCGCAGCTAAGCTTGAAGTTCATTCAGGCACTGGCCCAGTCATCTGTTTTCAGAAGGTACATGGTGGCCTTTGGTGTGGTCATCATTTGTTTGCTTGCTGCCGACTTTCCCGCCTGCTCTGTAGACGTCCCTACTGTTCTTCTCTGTTATGTCACCATCCAGTGAGTGAGGGACCCATCCAGTTCTTGTTACTCGATTCCTTGATGGTGCCTATGACACTTAGAATGTGTATTCTGTGTCAGTCGCTGACTTTGGCACTCACAACCAAGACTGTATCATCGCACTGCTTCCCAGCAGCTCACTAATCGGAGTAGCGTGCTTGTCCTTTCTCAGTGTTAAAGTTCTTTTCATAGATTCCCATCACAGGCTCACTCTGTCATCTCCATTTTACACCTTTGCTCCTTCCTTCCAGCTTGCAGCATTTCTTCTTTGATACTCATCCCAGCTTACAGCCATACTTCCGTTTTGTAGAATTTCGCCATTCTAAGTAGATGCTCATCTTTTTCTGCCATAAAACCTACTGAGGTGAGTGCGTCTCAGGGCCTAACTCTGCCTTCCCTCCGGTTACAGTGGATTAAATATCTTTGCTTTCCCAGAACCATCATTTCTTTTGTCTTGGATTTCATACTCTTTTACCCAATCCTGCAAGTATCTACTCAAATATCTTAAAACTGGAGCCGCCCAGGAGTGCTTCAGTGGGTTCCAACTTGGAGACACAGTATGGCAGAATAGCTCCTTGGGTCCTCTGATCCCCGGGTTTCTGCTCTGCCGCGCCATCCATTTTACAGGAAGCCTCTTCAGCAGAGTAGCTTGGGTTTCCTGTCGGTGCTTGCTGCCTTCCTGTCCATGCCAGAGCTGGCGCTGAGTCACTCCAGTCTGTGCTGGACAGTTCACCAACCGCTTCCTTCTTAACAGATTCAAAGGGCGATTTTAAACGTTCAGATTTCTCAAAACACTTGAAGGAATAACCCCTTCTTAGTTTCTTTCTTCACTCCCAGACGTGCTCTCACTTCTTTTCCTTCTGCTTCTCTGTGTTCTTCAGTCCCTTTCCAGTGGCCTCTTCCTTCTCCCAGGCCCGGGTGGCCTGTGCACAGCAGAAGCAGGGATGCTCACTCCCATCTCCCCTGTGTGCCTACCTCCCTCCAGGCGCAGAAGCCAGCTCCTTGCCCTTCCCTGCACATCATGGCCTCAAGGCCCCAGCGCCTCTGTTCCTTCTGCTCTGGAGGGTTCTTCCCTTAGATCCATCCACATTTTTCTCCCAATTTCTATGTGTCACTCACTACTCAGATAGAACCTGTCAAGGGAAGCCTTTCTGGCTGCTCTGTCTGAAGCACTAGCCTGGTTGTCTTTTCTCCCAGCAACGACCATAAACATATGTCTGTGGAAATAGAAGATCGATGAAAAGAAAAGGTTTTCTGCCTTGTTCATTGCTGTGTATCCAGCATCTAAACAGCACCTACCGCATCTGTTGAGGAAATAAGTAAAAAAATGAATGTTGCTCACCCCTCTGCTGAGATCTTTCAGTTGCCCTGGAGGCAGTGAGATTTCTTAGCCTGGCAGAAGGAACTCTACATAGAAAGATCACTGACCACAAGGTTTCGTGGTGAGGATTGAACAAACTAGTACCCACAAGGCACACCGTAACTATTCAGGATTTGTTACGTATTTACTGTTTTTATAGACTTCCCTTGTATGCAATACCGTGGCCATCACAGGAGGTGCCCCTCTGCAGTTCCTTCCAAATGCTCTCCTGATGAGGATGGTATCCCATGTTCGCTACCAGGTGCCTGTGGCCCCATCACCTTGCCATTGAACTGACAGCTAGCTCCTGCCTAGGGACCAGCATCCTGAAGACGGTGTGCTGTCTTCACCTTTCAAACTCATGGGCCCCTCTCAGGACGTGGCTTGCGACACTTGCTTACTAAACATGCTTGCAGCATAGGAGACCTTCCCTTAAGATCTCACTCAGCGTGCTTCCCCTGCAGGCTTCTCGGTGCTCCAGGAGGAGCTCTGCACCACACAACACAAGCTTCAGGAGGAGCAGGCAGCTTCCAGCGAGGGCGAGGCTGGCGATCACCCCCCCATTGTCTCAGAGGAAGACGTTTCTGTGGGCTACTCCACCTTCCAAGACTGTGTCCCCAAAACTGAGGGGGACAACTCCGCAGCAGCACTTTCTCCCCAGATGCACCAGGAGCAAATTCAACAAGATTTCTCAGGGAAAACGCAGGACGCGTCTGATGAGCAGCAGGCATACTTGTGAGTCCTAAATGTGGGTCCAAATATAAACCCTGCAAAATTATACCTGCAGAATAAAGAGGCATTAATACGGAGTGGGTGGGGTTAGACGGGGAGTGAAGAGACACTTTCTAAGGAGCTTCTGACTAGAAGAAGCTGCAGGTGCAGTTTAGCTGAGAATTTAAGCTCTGAGCTCTCTAGAAGCAAAGGAGAAAGAGTCGCTTCAGTCACACTGATTGTCCAGAGGAAAAGCAGACCACGAGAAAGGTGAAGGTGTCCCCGACTCTGAAATCTGAGAACAGTGGGAACAAGATCATGCTTCAGCGTCTTCTCTGCCATCAAGTGAGCAAATGGCCATAAGGTGTCCTTTGGCTTTTCTTTTCCAGTGTGACGAGCCCGGGTACAGAAAGGACCCCGGGCTCTCCCAGCAGGACCCCCGAGGAGATCGGGACCCCTTCCGAGGAGGATAGGCTAGACCTTAGGACCCCATTGTCCAGCGAGCGGGGAGGCTCCCCCATTGTGCAGGAACCCGAAGAGCCCCCTGAAATGAGGGAAGAGAGCTCCCCCTGGAAAACCAGCCTTGTGATTGTGGAGTCTGGTGAGGCCCAGCCACACACCTTTCTGGGACCTGACGGGGACACGGCTTTGGAAAAGGTGAGATTTCCCTGTTTCTCTTGCTCCTACCCACATGCAGCAAAGCTACAAACCTTTAGTTTCCATTTTTCTAATTTTTTTTTTTCTTTTAAAACAAAAAGTTGCCAGATTCATGAACCTGATCAATAAGAAACGTTCAGTTCTTTCGAAATCAGAGAGCTAACGAATCTAGAAGGAATACCCTACAATCCCTATCCTAACTATTAAACCAGAAGCCCTGCTTTTACCACTGAGATTCTTTCTGTTAAGAAAAATGTACACTTGGTGGTCAAACAATAATCTTTGTAAACTGCTAACCTGGAGCTTGAAGGCTAATGATATGGATGAGCAGGCTCAGGTGGGTCTGCTGCTGCATGGGTCTCAGTATATGGTGTGATAAAAATATATAGTGAATTTTTGAATTTTGAAACATTTATTGCAACAGAGGACACATTGTATTAGTCGCCTCAAAAATATTCCCCATGACTTTGCCGCTTAGCTGTTCTTGTCACTTCCTGAAGCAGTCCCAGAAGTGCTGTTTCGTGTGTCTATACATGATCAAAGCTATGGAGAATGCCTTTGCTGAGTGCCATTCAGTGGAAAGGCAGGCTTGTTAAAAACAAATTACCGTGTATCTTCATCGACTCTATTCATTGGATGCAGCACTGTGACTGTGACTCCCCCCAACGTTTGGATGACCATGCAAGGTCACCATTCTGAGTCACTTCAGGACATCAAGGCAGCCGCGACAGTGCGACTAAAGATACTCATGGAAAGGGACTGCCAGGACTCGCAGACAGTGGCAAGAATGGGCTAAGTGTGTTCAGAGTGACGGGGAGGACTTTAATTGGATCGAAGATGACATGTCTTTTGTTATAAAAAAAAGTCTTTAAATTTAAACTCTCATTGCATTTTTGAGTCCCACCTCAGCTCTCTGAGCTGTCTGCTGAGGAGCTCATGCCCTGGCTCTCTGATGGGTTTGCCCCCCTATAGACTTCCCTCCTAAAGGAAGACTTATTTCCAAATTATTTTTCTTCATATATATTTTAGCAATGAATTGTAACGGGAAGAGTATGCCTAAACTGACTGCTCTTCTGCCATGGCCATATGCCTGACGGAGACAGAGACTGTGTGAGAGCCCATTGTGAAGAGCACTGTGGCCGTGGAAGAGAGGCTGGGCCATCCTAAAAGATGCATGTAAACTGACACTTGGTCTGTGGAGTTCACAGAGTCAGATGATGAATTGGGGAGCTCGATCCTTCTGCAGAGCTCCAAAGTCAGGGGGAACCCCAAAGAGTAGGGAAGGTACAAGAAGACTCAGTGCTTTACACCTCCCCAGATTATTCTCATCTGCAAAGATGGGTAAAAATTTGTTTGAATTAGACTTGCTGTAAATTAAAGTAGATATTGTTTTCCTTTTTAAAAAAGTAATAGGGTTCAAAAGCATTTTATATTTAAAGGTGTTTATAAAAAGATTAATCCAGGGCTTAGTAATAATAGATTTGTTATGTGAAAGAATAAGAATTTTTTGGGTGACAGAAGTAATACAGCATATCTTGAGGGTTACGCTATGCATTTGTTTGTATTTACTATGTGGGTAACAGCTGTTACCAGGATTTATCTAAAATCACAACCAAATTGAGAAAGATTCAGGCAAATGAGAACCGTGTCCAGGATTTGGGCAGTTACCATAAAAAGTGAATTCATCCCATGGATGAATTCTTATTCCATAGAATTACTCAAGTTTTTGGCTTAAATGAGTACTAGTAAAGATGATTCATACTTGCTATCTAGGCTTAACAGTTGCCAAATGTAGCCCAAGACTCCACAGGCTAAGTAAAGTGTAGTCTAAAGTTATTATCTGGGTAATTTATATATTTAATCTGTTCTTTCCCTATAAATAAGTTTTGGTAAGTCCTCTCCATCCTGTGTATTTACCACGGGCCTGTTCCACGTATTCTCGATGGACTTCAGTTATCTGAGCTTAGCTCCACGTTTCAACTCTTAGCTCTCATGACTCTGACTGAGGTGTCCAATTTCAGTTACTCTTTTTTCTGACCCTATTTCTAGGCAGTAAGTTGCTGATTTAAAATGTAATTTCATTTAAATTTAGATATTTTTCAACAGAAAAATATAGAATGACGTATAAATTGGGTATTTTAAAATGTTAGGCAAATTGACTTGTCCTTTTTCTTTTTAAAAAATACCACTCCATAAGGAGAAAGTGATTCTATATGTATGACTTCTGAGACACATTTTAATCCAAAACTGTTCTTAACCTCTTCTCTGGAGTTGGGCCAGACCTATTAAGTCTCATTGTTTTCACATCTCAATTTTCCTGCAAAATGAGGCTAATACGAATCATAGCCTGCCCTTTTTGATGGTAGAGAGATGTACCACTGACCATGCAATATCTACAGGAAACTGGATTTCCTGTATACAGTTCTGTGGCACAGTGAGATGTTCCTACGCAAATGTGCTGAAACTCCAAGCCTAAACGCTAATGTTAACAGCTCGCAGCTGCACCTTTTGCTGTGGATCTATTTATTAGGCGTTTGAGTACCAGGATTTCAAGGCATTTCTTTAGGTGAAGTTTGACAGGTTCTCTGCTATCTTTTGGAATTACACATTTTTTAATTCATTAAACCAAACAATGGAATTCTTGTTGAAGCTTGAGACCACCACACCCTTATTTTCAGCCCCATCGGTTTTTCCACTGAAACCCCCATGAATAGCACTTTGAGGACACAGTGTATCCTCTAGCCTTCTGGCGAGAGCCAGAAACAGTAGCAAAGTTCTTCCTTAGCATGTTAAACAGAACCGTGCTTCCACACTTCCCAGGAGCTGAGAGACGAATTAGGGGAGCTGGAGGTCAGCTCCGATGAGGAGGCGATGGTTACCACCAGGGTTGTCCGCCGGCGTGTGATCATCCAGGTACCAGCTGCTGAACTGCTGCACGCCGGGGCCAGCCCTGCCCTCCCCATGTAGAGTGACTGACCTGGGCAGTAAGGGCATGGCATGCTCCCGAGCAGCGCATGGCCACTGGAAAGCAGGCCTCTGCTCTTTCTTTCCTCTTTTGTTTGTGGAGAGACGTGGTGGGATGGCAGTTACAGCCTGCAGCTGACACCACTGCCTTAATCAATTCCACCTGACTTTCTGTTTTATTTTTTTGTTTGTTTGTTTTGTTTTTCTTATATTCTGATACCAGGAATCAAACTCACGACCTTGTGCTTGCCAGGCAGGCGCTGTTCTGCTGAGCTACATCCCCGGCTCCTAACTCACCTTTGCTTATCTGTTTTCCTTGTTTGTTAGTTTGTCAATTTTACCTAACTTTGGCCACCTTCTTCTAAGCATGCTCACACCCACTTGTACCCACTTGACAGGATTTTGCATCTCCACAGTGCTTCTCCACGTCACCTTTGGTTTTTCTAACACTCCACACGTGATAAGCACTTGGATATGGTTCCTAGAACTGGTGCCGAGTCCTATGTGACCCTTTGCTCCCAACTGTTTAGGGAGACGACATGCCTGAGATACCCCCAGAAAGTGTCACTGAGGAAGAATACGTGGATGAGCATGGGCACACCGTGACGAGGAAGGTACTATCTGGTGTCTCCTTTTGTGCTGCTTTCAAACTTCCTGTTTCCGATGAATCAGTGTCATCCCACTGTGACTCCATAACGTAGTAAATGTACACATCCATAAATGACATGCGTTTCAGGTTACCAGGAAAATCATCAGACGCTACATGTCCTCCGACGGCACAGAGAAGGAAGAGGTTACCATGCAAGGGGCACCACCAGAGCCTGTGAGCATTGAGCAGGGCGATGGCTACTCCAGGGTGCTGAAGCGCGTGGTGTTGGAGAGTGACAGCAGCCAGTCGGAGGTGAGGCCCGACCCGAGTCTTACTTCACAGAGAGCAGGAGAGAGCCTGGCAGTGGGAGGGGAGTCTGCTCACCAGGCCTTGTGTCTGCTCATGGTTACCCATGTGTCTGTATTTTCATAATTTTGTGTAATTTGAAAAGAAGCACTAGGAAGCATCACAGCCACCAGTTATTCTCCTTGTTTGTTCATTCTCATTACCGTTTTTTGTTTAATTCATGGTTAACCACAGCAAACATCCAAAAGGCAAATTTCTAAAGAATAAAACCCCATTGCAAGATGGGCATGCATGAGGTAGAGGCCTGGTCAGGGAGACCCCTGAAGTCAGGGGAGCAGCCCTGGATACCCAGCCCACAGCCTTGGGGTACCCAAATCAGCACCAAGGAATGCTTCAGTTCATACTTTGTATTTCTTTCTGCTTTATTTCCCAGTTCCCACAGAAACATGCTTGCTTTTTAAAAAAATATAATTTGTGAAATTCTCATCATGTTGTATTCACTTATCGCCTCAAAATCTCATTTTTAAAGACATGAGATCCTCCAGAAATGCAAATTTCTCATAGCTTCTTGAGTCCTTCCCTTGGAGTTAACTTTACCTTTACACTGCAAGTGAAACCAGTCACACGTGGATAACAAGTGTAGCCACAGATTTCACTGCCTCCACCTCACAGGATTGGAGTCCTTACCAATCGACTGACAGATTTCATCTCTGTGTCTGACAGTCCCTAGGTGACTCCACTAACTGGTGAAAGGGGTTTTGTTGTAACTCTGCTTCACCGCACCAAAATACTACTTTTTAGAAGTCTCCTGGGTAGTACTGTAATGATTCAGCATTTGTTACACTTTGGCCATCAGAAACTACATTGTATGTCCTTCATCTGTCAGGTAACTTTGTCCGAACCCAGCATTCTGTCCAGCACCTCCCAGTTTCAGGCTGAACCAGTGGAAGGCCGTAGAGTCAGCAAGGTGGTTAAAACCACTGTGGTCCGGGGAGAGCGGATGGAGAAACACCTGGGGGACTCTGACTTAGCCACGGACCTTCCTTCAGCCAAAGATGACTTTGAAGAGGTAGAGAAGCATCATTTTGTCTTTTCTGCTTTTTGATTTGTATTTTATGTTTGCTTTTTGAGTTTAAAAGTCATCATTGTGTCATTTCATATGCAGACCCGTAGAGGTGTGTTTAATAATTGAATAGAACAGATTTCTTGTTTGAATCAGGTACATAGTGAAATAATGTTTCCTCAACCTATGGTGTTTGTTTGTGTCACCCTAAATGCCTTTAAATATCCATGCAATCCGGATTCACTTCTGGTGAGATCAGCATCAATCAGGACATGATCCTACATCTTATTTAAAAGTCCCAGAAGTATTCTGTACTCCCAATTATTATGAAAAAAAGTAAAGATGGTACAAATTATCTTGCCTAGCTGATTCTATGAATATTGCTGTGATACACAATTTAAAAATTTCCAGGTTTTCTATGTTTGTATCTTTTAAAGTGATCTGTAGTTATTAAGTTCTAGTTCCCAGTAATTCAGAAATGTATTTGTAATAGCAGATTTATAGACCCTTTCCATGGCTCCAAAATCCTAAAATTCAAAAAACCAAAACAAATTTTCTAAGGTAATTTGACGTAATATAAACTGGCATGGAACTTGACAAAATTTTATATGAACTGATATGAGGTCTTCTTGGCTTACTTAGAGTGAAATTACATATGTTTTTCTATCTGATCTGAATTGAGTTTGATGATAAGATGTGCTTTCCACCTTCTCTGGGATGTTAGGATAGCAAGCCTATATTACGAATATCGTAATATCTAAATTCTGAACCACATCTGGTCCCCAGAGTTTGGGAACAGACACATGTGACCCTCTGCAAAACAGTTTTTGCCGGTGAAACATTTCCAAGTCAAATGCTTTAGGTGAATCCTCTGCTAGACTCACAACATATATGGAGATTGCGTTTGACTATACTTGGATATTAGCAGCAAATCTTACTTGAATGCTTTCAGTCCTTCACTCTTGACAGCCAGCAGCCTTGGACGTTTCAAAGGTGAAGTCTCAGAGTTGTACACTGGACTCGACACTGTACACTGTACACTGTACACTGTTCAGTGTTCTCATTCCCAGTCAGTGTATTTACCATGAGAAAATTCAGTGTAGAAAGCCTGCACTGCAGTCGAGGAAATTAAAAGTCAGTTGGTGTGGATGTCAGTTAGCAGCTTTGTAAAGTAATATAACAGAGCTCCCTTGCAAATGAGAAATCTCAAAGGACTTAATAAAACTCAATCCTCACGTCCGCTCCTGGGAGTTCTTTTTATTTGTCCTTTCTTCAAATACTTTTTCAGATTGGCTGTGAATTAGCAGAGTGGTGGATTGCTTTGCAGTCTGTGGATCATGACTGTTGTTTTCTATTTTTCTTACCTTAGGCTTTAAGTTACACAGGTAGCCACATGAAAGTCCACCCCCCAAGTTTAGTAGAGAAGGAAATCGTGAAAGAGGATGGCTCCATCATTAAAAGGTTTGAGGTAGCATGGGGTGATGTGTTGCCAACTAACACCATAAAAGACTTCCTGTTCTAAGAAGGGACGCACAGAGCCCTGACATGGGTACATTTCTCAAAAACTGCTGGCTTTCTTGTGTGATAAGGCCTTCATCCCACGGTGGCCCTGTTGGCATGTCACACTGCGGTGTTCTGTGGGGCTGTAAGATGAATGCTGAGGCACAGCAGCAGTGAAGTGACAGCTCACACTATCACAATCCCTGGGCCCCACATTCACCCTTGTAGGGAAGTTCACCAGCTGGGACCCACTGTGTTGGAAGGTGAGAAGAGCAGGGAGGGGAATCTACTCTATTGTTCATGACTTAATTTTGTGACCAGCTATGTTCAGCTCCCCCTTAAATATCACCCCTTTGTGGCATATGCTTTTTGTGTTTCACAAACTCTTTCATGACTCTGCATGCAAGTGGCGAGTGGCATGAGCGTGGTTTTGATGTCCAGTGTTACAGTTTGTGTTCGGATGGCCCCCTCAAGCCTCATGCAATCTTGGACACAGCTGAATCCAGTGTTCATGATTAGCTCGTCGTCTAGCACTGGGGTTGGCAGTGTGAGTGCTGTACCTGCCCAGGGGCAGAGCTGACATACAGCGTAAGGGCAGGAAGAAGGTGTATCTTTGCTTTTTTGCTTGGTTTGCTCTTGTTTTGTGGGGGCCACGAATGGTGGCCCCATCATGCCACCCTGCCTTGGAACAGCAGAGTATGGACTGAAACCTCCAAAACTGTGAGAAATAAACCTTTCCTTCCCTAATTTTGGGCATCAGACATTTTGTCTAAACACCGAGAAAAAAGTAACCAAGATACCCAGCAACCTGAACGTACCTAGGGACTTGGAAGCCGGGCTTTGGTGAAGTGAGAAAGCAGGTAGAGCCGCAGGCAGCTCTCTCTCTCCGTAGAGAAGGGAGCAGGCAGTGAGGTGCTCTGAGCTGGCTCTGCCTCTGTTCTGCCTTGACCTTCCCAAGATCTGCTTCCCTCTGGTCCTCAAGCAGTCCTGTGTGAACCCGCACTATGAAAATGTTCTTAGCTCTGCAGTGAAAAGAGAGTGGGAATCCAGGTTACTACTGTGCTTTTCTCCTCATTGAAAAGAAGAGAAAGATTATCATTTATAGTATTCTCCAGGCTATGGTAAGCCTCTGGGACATAATAATTAGAACAGCAAAATTAAAGGTTCTGTTGCATTTCGCCCTCCAGTCAAACATGAAAAGCAGCCGCTAGGGATTTAAAAGAGTACAGTTGCTGTCTTAGAACTTTAAACACATGGCACAAACTGAGCATAAAGTGCTTTTTATATTCTAAACTCTTAAGTCTTGTTTGTAATTATTGGGATGAAACTACACAGCCCCTGTGCACCTGACCGTCACAAGGCCAGTCTGGAGTGGAGTGGATTTAGGGAACAATTAATGCGAAGCTCTCTGTTCCAGCTGTTGAGTTTGAAGTTGGGAACAGAGACACTCCGAGTTCCCACAGCTTGTCTGTCTTGGAACTCTGTGATGTGCCGCTGTGAGGTCTGTACACTGCCAGAGGCATTTTATCCTGCACACCTTCACATTCACAGGCATTCGTCTGCACCCAAGGGCTGATCAAAACATATGATGGATTTTCAAATTTTAAAGACACGTCACCATCATTTCCCCTCCATATACTCCTTCTCACTTCAGAGGTACTTACTCCATTGTTCATACCACCTTTACAAGCCTCTCTGGAAGTTCCCTTTCAGGAGTGTTTCTCTGAGGTGTGGTCAGAAACCCTGTGAATGTGGCTGCTGACGCCGTCCAGTAGGGACTCTGGCTTGAGAAAGTGTGGCGCTGTGCATGCACTCACCGTATTCACTAGCTGTGCTCTGAAGCCAAACGCCCAGCAGAGAAAAATGTTCAGTGCCCATTCAGGACATCAAGGCAGCCCAGACTGCACTCACACAGGAGGGCCCCGAGCCGCTGCGGGGAGGGTGTGAGATACAGCAGGGAGCGGTGTGTGAGATACGTTTTTAAGATTTAAATGTGCATTGTGTTTTCCAGTCACTTTTTATCCACTGCAGAAAGTACAAGAAATGCCTTATGATGGGGCCAATCCTGACACCAGTGCCATAAGGAGGAAAAGTGATGGGTGCTACATAGGTAGAAAAATGCAGCCCGATCACATCTGACCATTTCATTGAGAGGAACAAATTTAATTTGCCTTCAAATGCAAAGTTACACATGTTATATCAAAAAACAGTAGGAGAAAAGGGGAAAGAAAGAAATCTGAGAGTATTCACTGAAGTGAGGCCTTTTTTAAAACCTGGGGGTGATGTCACAGAATGCCATGAGGTGTTGGAAGGCGGGCAGGACTTTTGGCTTCTGGACATTAGGAATCTGTAAGGAAAATGCTGGTCCATGCTCTGGACACCGGTCCTGCCTCCCCCCCCCCCCAGATCTGGGGAAAATGTAGGGCACTGTACTTGTGGCCTCTCAGAGTCTTGGCACCACAGCATGCTAATGGCTGTTTTTATGTGGGTTGTATTGCTTAAATTCTCATAAGATTGAGTTTCCTTATTTGTTATAATAATCATGTCTGGCAATTACAACACATTCATCAGATGTTTGTGGAACGAATAATTGTATTTACAAGTAGATACAAGAACTACGAGTAAACAAACTAGGATATGACCATTGTTAAGTAGGGATACAGGAAATTAATAGTGTGAAATATAGTAGTGAATGAGAGCATCTTGCCAGGGATGGGAGTGCACATCTGTAATCCCAGCACTTAAGAGGCTGAGGCAGGAGGATCACTGTGAGTTCAAGGCCAGCCTGGATCACATAGTGAGTTCAAGTGTGACCTGAACTGTCTCAAAAAAACAAAATAAAAAAAATCAGTAAATAAAGTTGTAGCATCTTTTCTCAAGGCACCAGCAGTTAGATTAGAGAGGCAAGCAGACAGCCGGCTTTAAAAGGCAGCAAGATGCCCTGGATGGGCTGTGAGGATCACCTAGAATCCAAAGGGTGTGCCTGTCTCTCAGGGCTTTCTTCTGATTCCTCTTCCTCCTCGCCCTCCAGATGAAGCTTTCGGGGCCTTTGGGCATCCTGGCCTTCTTGTGTGTGGTAGGATAGAGTTTAACTTGCTGGAGAAGGTGTCCCTGGGAAAGTTGCTGGGCAGGTTGGCTCAGGAGAGAACTAGGTGTTGAGTGGGCAGTTAGGATGACTTTGGGGAAAGTAAATTGAACACTGTTTCTCTTTGCCGTTGAAAAGGGGTCTGCACTCACGCTTCCAGCATGAATCGGAGTCTTTGAGATGAGTACAGCTTAACCAAAACATGAATAGTTGTTATACAGGTTCTTTGTGAGAGAATTATATTAACATGTGGCTTCATTTATTTGAAACATTTCTTAAAGGTTTTCAAAAAATATTCCTTGTTCCAACATGTATTTTTGGGGGAGTATTAGAGATTGAACCAGGGACCTTTGCACTAAGCTGCACCCTCGGGCTTTTCAAATTTTGAGACCGTCCTCATTCACTAAATTGTGCAGACTGTGACACTTGCAATCCTCCTGCCTCAGCCTCCTAAAGTGCGGGCAATACAAGCAGGTGCTGCCACACTCCCAGAGTGGCCCCCTGTTAGCTGGTGTGGAGCTGTCTCGAAAAGCAGGACCAGAAGGGCCCTGCGAGGCTGCCCGATAGCAGTCAGAAAACCATTAATTAACCGTCCTCTGTCGCCTCTCCTCCAGGACAACAATGAGTAAAGCCAGGACCCAGCGGAGGACTGTGGTGAAGGACCGGCACGGGAAGCGCGTGGAGCTGGGGCACCTGGAGGATGTGCCGGAAGCCCTGGGCCAGGACGACCTCCAGCGCGACCTCCAGCAGCTCCTTCGCCATTTCTACCCAGAGGACTTGCAGAGAGAGGCCACGTGAGGGGCCGCCCGCCGCCGGCCGATGGATGGGACCTGACGTTTCCACCATTGCGAATACACAGCGTTTTGTTTCCGTTCTTCCCCTTCTCTCTAACGTCAAGCCGATTTGTGACCAAAGATAGCACCGCGCACTGCGGGTGCTGTAGCTGCACCTTGGTCGTCCCTGGGGTCCTGCCACCTGGCGCCTCTGCTCCTGCGGAGCTCCTGGGAAGGCGTGATGGGCAGCGCTTGCCCCGCAGACCGTGCCGGTGACCCCAGGACCCCCAGGCCCCATCCGCAGTGCGTCTGCAGAGGCGCAGCGCGTGGAAGTCAGAGCCACTGCCCGCCCTGCGCGCCACAGATGAAGTCTCTAGAGACTGCCCAACGGAGGGTGACAGGGACATTGCTAAGGCAATCGAACCATTGCACGACACAGTTCCGCTGCGGAGGAGGCCCGCGGAGCGCTCGCCCCACCCGGGAGTGGGAGGCCGTGTCGGAGACCGCGCGCTGTGCCCACGCGGGACGCTGCCCCGCGGCCTTGGGCACCCGCAGCCCTTCCACGTTGGGCGTGTTGGCAGGGTATTTCCAAGTCCTAACTACTGTAGCTCCCCAGCTCCCTGGCTGCTCTAGCAAACCACGCTGTCTTACTGGTGGTCCCTGCGGCCACTGCACTGTAGATAACGTCACTGGACCCAAGGTTTACCCACTCCAAACACGGAAAAGGAAAAAAGGTTACATTCCCGCGCCCTGTCAGCGTGGTTTCTTTCTCTTCCCTCCTCAGCTCTCTTCTCCAGTACCTGCATGTGGCGTTTAAAGCGGGAAACCACAGCCCACCGGCCCAGCACAGCAGCGGTGCCGACCTTTCCGCCCTGAGTGAAGACCGCGGGTCTGTGCTTCAGCGTGCAGACAAGGTTGGGAAGCCCTTTGGAAGTTTGGTTTTGGTTAAAATGTTTGGTTTATTTATTTGAAATCCGACCCCCTTGGAAACTCTTGAGTGCATTTGTGCACTTTCCTGTGGGTTTGTTTCAGGGGAGGGACTACAATCCGAGTGATTTCCGTGTCCTGTTTCTTACTCCTCTAGTGGTTGAAGCTGTGTAGCATTTTAACATATATTATATATATTCACAAATATATTCATATAAACAGTATACATTTTGAACCAGTTATTTGTTAAAGAAAAGTATATTCAGTGAGGATGAAATTTAAAAGAAAAAAAGAGTCTGTCCTCTGGGGATCGGACTTTTCCCAATTCTATCTGGTATTTTCCTGTTGTGCGGAAAATGACTCCTTGCTCAGTGTCGAAAACCAATGCGACAAACAATTTAAAATAACATTGCCAAGAAAAAACAATGTTCCAGGAGCGGGTTTCACATAAGCCAAGCCTCCTGACCCTCAAATGCTAGCACTTTTCGGCGGTTGGGTAGGAAATAGAATGTTCGTTGGCAGCCACAAGGAGAGAGACCCATATGGACCTTTGTGATGCACACCGAGGTCCTCTGTCACACCCTCCACTTGGAGCCGGAGACAAGCATTTCTGTTGTGTAATTTGCAGTGCAGATGATGTCTGTGTAACAACATAATGGTTATTCACCTTCCTTTGATTTTTGATTTTTGCTGTGTTATCAAAAACTTGAATACTGTGAGAAGAAGTGAATTTTCAGTTGATGAATCAGCATCTTGTTCCCATGGTGATAACACTAATTGAATATATCTATGAGGGCATGTATTAGTTAATGGAAAAAATACAACACTAACAATACATAGCTGCAATGTTGTACAATGGCTGATTAATTCAATAAAATGTACAAGTGTTAAATGTGGCAAGAGTGGTTTTTTCTTTATCACAAATTTGTGCTCTCGGGGGAACAAGGGATTATTAAAAAAGTGAGATATCTGGAGCCAGCAGGACACTCGTTCCCTTTCTTTTTGTTTTCACTTAGTAACTAAATATCCCAGCACTGTATTAAGGAGATTATAAGGTCTGCCCCTGCCCTCTTTTGTCATTATGATTATGCAGTGGAGGAAATCAAGGATGTATTTTAAGTCTTACGATTACTAATAAATGAAAAATGGAATTTCAGGATTTAGGGGCACATGTTGTGTAATAGTCCTTCATGAATTAATTCATTACTTAAGAAAAACAAAATTGCAAATTGTAAAAGCCTGTCTTTAGAAATAATAACATAGTCCCTACTAACTGTCATGAGTAAAAGTGAAAGTAGAAATATTCAAGGATAAAAACAAAGCAGGGGAGAGGAAATAACTAAGAAAATATGACCTAATTTTAGGTAAATAGATGTAAAAACTGAAATAAAGGAGAAGACTTTTTAAACTGGGAATTAGTAAACTTTGTCAGAATAGTGAAATCCAATAATCCCAGAGGAAATTGAGAAAGTAACACAAGATTGAAAGTCACAACAAATTACAAGCTCTTGGTACTGTCACAGATGAATTCTATGACTGTCTGAATACACAGAGAAGTCTAATAATACCAAAACCACCACAGAGCCCTGGGTGGCTTTTAATACCTCATTAGTACCAAAGCTAGATACAATGCACAAATAAAGGTCTTCAAAATAACAATAACAAAGATCAATTTTATTAAGCAATCTCTTTGCAAAAAAATTCTGCAAAAACAACATATTTCAAGAAATAATAAACTGTGATTACATCGCAGTTATTACTTCAAGATAAAAGAGGTTTATAATTAAAATTTTTGACATTGGAAAGTTAATAGAAAAAAAATGCACTCTTTCCATAGATGGTCAGGAGGCATTTAACAAGATACATTGATTTTTACATCCTTTTAATAGGAGATGTCAAGTTACATATGCTTGTGTGTTTGTAAGAACTGCTGCTCTTTAACAAATTTTCAAATAAATTTAAGAGCTCGTAGTCAATTTCATGTTAGCATAGCCTTTGCATTAATCTTCAACAGTAGAGAAAACTTTATCTTTTGCCTCACCCTCCCACAACTGCTTCTGCCCTCCCTGCCCCAAACTAGTCCTGGGCATCACCAGAGAGACCAGGACTTCCATGTTTGTGGCTTAAGTTGTTGGTTAGCAATTTTGAAAGAGAATATCAACTATGAAATCTTAGGAATCCTGTCTCAGAAAAGGGTTAAAGTTAAACCAGGCATAGAGGCCCTGACAGCAGCCTGGGAGTCTGAAGCAAGAGAATCACAAGTTTTAGTTCAGTCTGAGCAAATAGGCAATTTAGCAAGACTCTGTCTCAAAATTTAAAATAGGTTTAAAAGGGCTGGAGATAGGCAGCTCAGTCGGAAAGTCCTGGGTTCTATCCAGAATCACACACACAAGAAGAGTCAAACAGTGTACTCATTAGATAAGTGTTTTGTCTTGATTTAGAAAGCATAACCAGACCAGTGTATATGCAACAAATAGAGGATCCATCTGTTTGTCACACATATACAATAAGAAACAATTTACTTTTAGGATACAGTTCACAAATGATTTTTGTTTTAACCAAAACTTGTGTTTTATAATGACTCTTATAACCTAGATTTTTTTCAGTGACTTAAGATAGATACTGCCCCTCCTGCCAAAATTCATCTTGCTTAATGACAAACATGGGGACATCCCTGATTTAAAACTCTAAGAAAGATGATTATTTCCATACTTATCTAGGACTGATGAGGAAGAGTTGGAAAAAACAAAGAAAGCATATATGTGAGAAAAAGAACAAACATAATTAATGTGTAAACAATACATTTATGAACCAGAAAAACCAGAGGAATCATCTGAAAACCTATGCTGTTGACAGTGTGGTCACTGTCAACCTAGAAAATGTATAAGTCTAACACATGAACACGTACCAACCTCCAAATTAAAAATACAAATGGAAGAAACAATACACTTTACAACAGAGACTAAATGCCTACTTAGAAATTTATCAAGGCATGTGCAAGGCCTCTAAGGATACTGAAAAGTACTATAAGCCAGATTAAAAGGTAAATACAGAGTCTGCACAAAAATACATATTTCAAGTGAAGAAAAACTTGCCTAATATGTTAATACTAAGTTTATTGAGATTATGGAATTAATACCATTACCTTTGGCCTCTACAATTACTTGAGGTGCTCAAAATGGTAGTCATTAACTTCCAGACATTTATTAATACAGTACACTGCTGAAGTATGTGTACATTTTTTTACACATACTCTTTAGAAAAAGATGAATTTACAGGCCACCTAAAAAGATCACAAGAGGCCCGGCATGATGATGCACATCTGTAATGCCAGCTCTCGGGAGGCTGAGGCAGGAGGACTGCTGCAAGTGAGTCCAGCCCACTCTGAGCCACAGGAAAACATCCCATTCTCACCTATAATTAAATAAACATAAAATACTAAGGTGTTTTTTCAACCTATTATAACAGCAAACAAAAACAAAATGACACACAGGATTTGGAGGAACATTTATTTATATTGATGGGTGATGGTCAGGATCACTCCCAAAATATCAGGCCCTGAGCTCTGGTGGTGTAGGGCTTGTTTGGGATAATCCAGCATCTCTATATCCATCACCATCATCCATCTCCACCAGTCTCATCTCCATCTTCCCCCCATCTCCACGTATAAATTATGAAGTGTCAATTGTCTGTTTTTGTAATTAAATCTTGAGCATAAGGGCACTCAACAATTTCTTGACCTTGAGGGTTGTAAAGAATTCTTGTGGTAAGGGAAACATGAAAGGTTTTACAAAACATTGGGAAGGCAGCTGGGCCATTATTAGTCTTAGGTGCCCAGCACGGGCCATGGCAGTGAGCCACGACATGTTTGGCTGCTTCACCAGTGTGAGCAGAAGCAAAAATAAATCCTGACAAAGTGTCCTCTGAAACATGGACTCAGCACAGAGAGCCAAACTCAGGAATGTGAGTGACATCCATCCATTGAGATGATTAACATGTAAACCTCAACAATTAGCCCCTGTGAAGAGACAGGGACAATGTACCACACATGACAACATTGTTTAACAATCTGCCGGGCCTGTTCTAGGCTTAAATGAAACTTTTTGTGCAAGGCAGAAGCATTTTGATGGAATGTGGCATGGGAGGCAGAAGCCTGTTGAATGGCATCTGAGGAGCAACAGTGACAGTAGCCATCTGTCTAATGCATTGCTTCCCTCAGTGAGAGACCGGGTAATTGGAAAGGGGAACTTGAATGGTTGGTAAAACAGGGAACAGGGAACATGTGATCATGTGGTGAGCTGGAGCGTGTGAACAAGTGAAAGAGACCTTGACTAGTGTGTATTGTAGCAATTTCAGTGGGGCGCATCACACCACAAACAGGGAATTCTGAAAAGAGGTTAATTGGAGTGAATAGATGATCTTGCAAGGCCCACATGACAATTTATAATTCAGTCTTTTGTGCAGAAGAGAAACCTGTATCCTGTATTCAGGAAGAGGTGGGCATTTCATAATCTCCTTTGCCTGATGATGACCTGTCTGAAAACAGAGCCTCAATTATGGGGACCGAATTTATTTTCAAAGGAAAGACAAAGGGCGTGAGGGAACCAAACTGAATTAATTTATCTGGAGGATAATGGCAGTCAACAATACCAGGGAAGTTAGCCAGTGCAGATTGCCACGGGGATGAAAATTGCCATAGCCTCTGTTGTTGGACAGAAGAAAAGGGAACATTGACAGTTTGCACCTCATGACCAAAAAGCTTAACAGCACATCTCTGCCCACATGTGCTCAGTTCTGCCACAGCCTCATAAGAGGGAATAATGGTTTTGTGTGAAGAATGCGATATAGAAGATTGCCAAAGGGCTCCAGTAGGCATGCATTGAGTAGGGAGGATAATTAAAAATATGACCAAAGCTGGGTCAACTGTAGAAAGCTGGACAGTAGAGAGAGCCAGATTAACTTTGTCCAAGGCAACTTTAGCCTCAGCTAATGCTGTTGGGCAATAACAGAAACATCTGCTCCTGTGTCTAAAAGCCCTTTAAATGTGTTTCCTTCAATGATCAATTCCATCCCAGGATAATCCTGCTTAATCTGTTGAATCTAAGTATTGGAAGACCCAAAGCCCTTGGACCCTCTTTCCTTGTTTATAGATTTTCCAATTTGTGTCAAGGGAAGAATAACCAATCAAGCAATACAAGAATCTGGAGTGATTTGAACTGTGTTTAGAGTAGATTGAGCCATAACCTTGATTTCCTCCTACGTAGTCTCAATGACAACTGACAAAACCTGGAGACCTTTTAACATGAGACTGCTCTGACCTAGTAGTAGACCCACTGTTCCTGGAGGCAGAGGCCCGTAGACTCCAGTAGGAATAACTTGAGGTCCTATTTCAGGAGCTATGAATCCGGAGGAGGAACTGAGGTCCAGGCCTTCGCTGTCTTTTGTTGCTCATCAGAGGACGAAAGATGCTTGGCAGCAGGGAGTGAGGCTGGGGAGTAATTGAGGAAAGTGCCCCTGTTGTTTGGAAGTTTCCCAAAAATGAACCAACCTTCTGCATCTATGTTTGATCTACAATCACTTTCCCAATGATATGCTCATCGACACTTTGCACAGATACGAGGAGGTTTTGTGGAAGACAGACAGCAGCTGTGCTGCCTCCAGAGGTGCAGCAACAGAAACATTTCAAGCATGATGTTCTTCCCCCAACAATGAAAATAAGTAGCCTTGTTTTTTCCCTTTCCTGTAAGCTGTGGGTTTATGATCTGAGTGAAAGTTGCTACCAAGGTAGCTCCCTAAACCTGTGAGGGGCCAATATCTGCACAAACCTGAATCATTTGACAGTGCCGCTAGCTTTTTGTGGGCTCTCAAAACTTCTTTATACCTTTTATTTGC